GCTTTTCACTTTCTCTGGGGGACCGTACACTCCTCTTTGTCTCACATGCACACACTTCCATGCCTCTGGTCTCAGATGCTTCAAGCTCTGGCTTAAGAGGGAGCGAAGTAGGAGAAGGGGGAGGAGGAGATGGGGAGAAGGGGGAGGAGAAGGGAGAGGAGGCGGATCAGGCGGAGGAGGACGGGGAGGAGGACGGGGAGGAGGACGGGGAGGCTATAGGCTCTTAAAACGAACTGTGCGCATGGACGAACAAACAAGTTCGTCGGAAGGACTATGGGTAGAATGTCCTTCAGATCTATAGGTGGGGTGGGATTAGCTTTCAGAGGAAAGGGTGGGTTATTTCATATGAGTAACATAGGGTAGGGTACATAAGAGGGGTACATAAGATCAACATAAGGGGTGAGGTGAGCTTCTCAGGAGTTGGCGGGAACGACGGTAAATGCTGAGAACAGGAGAGGAGGGAAGGGCAGGGGAGGGAAGGGAAGGGAGGAAGAGGTGAGAAGTTCGAGCATGGTGAGAAGGGGGAGAGTAACGATGAGGAGTGATATTGTGAAAACACAAGGGATGGGACGAAGCAGAAATGAGAATGAGACAAAGACAGAAGAAGATCGGACTGGTGGGGCTAAATCGATTCATCTGTGACGATGATACGTGGGCTTGTTCTTTTACGGGCGAAGTGAGCTTCTGGATGGATAAAAAGCATTGGATATGGAATTGGAATGATGTGTCCTGTTGTTCCTGGCGACGTCACAAGAAAACAAATGAAATAGTTGACTGATCAACTTTGCAAATGATTGCGATAATACATATGAGATGGTTTGTTGTGATGTTGCTGATGAATGAGATGTAGGTGGGGATGTCATCGGGACAGGGAGGTAAGATAGCTGAACCCTTTGCCTACGCAAAACTGGCAACCAGGGGAGATGCTCTGCCGCCATTTTACATCACGAGCGAATATGTCATGGAAAGAGATCATTCTGGGAACCCTAGAAGGATCGAAGTGACGCTGGGGAGGCAAGAACATTCACTCTGCTACCTCCATGATGGTCTCAACTGATACTGTTGAGCAGGAGTCCTCCGCAGGGACAAGAGGGAGCGGGAGCGTTCCGCGCAAACTTTCACATTGGGCAGAAGATGAAGATCAGCAAGATGCATGCTTCCTTATACTGGAATTCAGACGACGAGAAGTTTTACATCAAGAGCATCTGCAAGAATGCAGTGAAGGTGGACGGTAAGTTTGCCCTGTCCCCCAAGGTTTCTTGCTCGGGCTTCAGGCTGACTGGTGTGCTTTAGGGGTTATCTACCCCGGATCCCCGGATGGAAACAGCGGAAAGCCAGCACCTCTGCAGAGGCAGTCGAAGATCGAGATCGCAGATGGAGTTCCAATCTATTTCCTCCTTCCGTTGAGTATGAATTGTTGAGCTGTAGAAACGTTGTTCTGAAATCGTCAAAGCGCCATCCTCGATGCCCAGAGCGCTTGCTGCGAAGCCGAAACTTTCCTATGAGCAAATGGTGTCGTCTGTGAGTTCTAGACTGCATGCTTGGAGCAGGAGGCTCATGGTTGCCAGGTCCTCGAACCTGATCTTAAACTTTCCTTTGAAGAAATATGGGAAGCCATCCAGCAAAAGTACCCCTACTTTGCAAGTGGTAAACCTATCATTGATTGCTTCCTTGTTCTAACTCTTGTGTTTGCATTCTGGGACCTCTCTGTCTCTATCTCTCTCTTTCTGCCTCTGTCGCTGTCTGTCCTTTGTCTTGCCATATCGCGCATCACTCGCCTTCGCTTCTCTCTCTCGCTGATATCAACTGCTGCATCAAAGATTCGCCGGAGAGCGTTACCTGGAAGACCTCCGTGCGTTCCTGCATCCACCGAAGCATCCGCACATTCAGCAAGGGAGTGAAGGAGGTGGCTGGAAAGAAGGTCCAGGCCTCCAAGGCCCCTTGTACCTCCTCTGACCTGCTCACTGCAGGTCTTCTGCTTCTACCTCAAGAGCAGTGGCACTGAAGGATCGAGCAAAGACGAGGATGAGGCGATGGTAGTCGACTCCGGTGCAGCTGCGGGCGCGGCGGTCGGCGGGAGCAAGGAGGACGAGGACTCGAAGATGCAAGTTATCATTTGAACCCGTACTTGTCGTGGCAGGGCCACAGCAGTTTTATTTCGCTACAACCATCAGCTACACTAGGAAGCAGTCAATGTATTCTACCGAACATGAATCATCTTGTGCCAGTATCTTCTTTCACAGTTGAATCGCCATCTCAGGGATTACTTCCTACCTTGGCATTTCTTTTCTACTGTCTCCCGCTCTCTTCTGCATTTTTGTCTCTTTATTTCACTTCGTCTTCCTCTCTCATTCAGCTGCTCCCCAACCATTTCGAGGTCCTCGCATTTCCGTATTCCACCTCGTTGCTCTTCTCCACTCTATGATTCTAGCTTCGTCTTCTCATACCTCATCCTCCAACGGCTATCATGACATCCTTGTCTTCTGATATTTCTCATCATCTGAACCTCTCCTCCTCTCTCCTCCTCTCTCCTCCTCTCTCCTCCTCTCTCCTCCTCTCTCCTCCTCTCTCCTCCTCTCTCCTCCTCTCTCCTCCTCTCTCCTCCTCTCTCCTCCTCTCTCCTCCTCTCTCCTCCTCTCTCCTCCTCTCTCCTCCTCTCTCCTCTCTCCCTGCTCTCTTTTAATTCTCCCAACACGCCTGTGTTCCAATCGGGGGATCATGCTTCTTCGACCACCGGTTCTTTGCATGTTAAAAGTGAAGGTGGGGGTGGTGCTCACAAGCCGGGCGAATGGGGGATGGACAGTGGCGGAGCTTCGTAGGAGGAACAAGCTCGGGGGCGGCGCTCGTCATCGCAGGCCATCGTAAGGAGCAGAGGAAGCAGAGGGAGAGGGAGAGAAGTCAAGGAAGGGAAGAGAGAGGAGGAAGAGGCTTCTGCTTGTCCATTCAACATGCTCGATCTTGATTCGTGCAAAGAGGGCTGTGCATCCGGGAGCGAGTTTGCGATCTGACTAATTTGTTCTCCCTCAGCCTTCGACACGATCAAAGTCAGACTGCAGACTGAAGGGAAGGGCGGTCGGTTCACGGGAGCATGGGACTGCTTGCGGCAGACCATGTCGAAGGAGGGGTTCTTCGGGTTGTACAAAGGGGTCCTGCCTCCTCTTCTCTTCGCGGGGTTCATCAACTCGACCCTGTTTGGCATGCAGTCCATGGCAGTGAACGCGATCAAGAACGACAAGTCGCGCAAGCCGACAGTGACCGAGACCATGAAGGCAACTGATCCCACCCATCTCCTCCTCTCATTTCTCGCAGGGGGCGGTGGTTTCAGGGTTTGCCATCTCCTTCATCGTGCAGCCGATTGAAGCTGTAAAGGCGCGATTGCAGGTCAAGGCAGAGAAACAAAGCAGAGGAGGCTGACCTGTCACAGGTTCAGTACGGAGCGAAGAACGAGGTCAAGTACCACGGAATGGTCGATTGCTTTCGCAAGGAAAGATCCTCTACGATCTTGTCCCCTCTCTCAGTCCACTATGTCTGCCTGCCTGCCTGCCTGCCTGCCTGTTTGTCTCTTCTCGCTCTCCTGACAACACGAGCAGGTTGTCTCTAATCTGGGAATTCGTCATGGTCTCTACAGGGGCTGGACCATGACAGCATTGTGCAGGATGAGCAACTACGCTTACTTCGGCCCATATGTGTCTTCTTCTCCCTCTCTCCCTCTCTTCTCCGTCTTCCTCCCGACACTCTACCCTCCGTGTTACTTCCCATCACTCTCTTGTTAGGAATTTTTCCGAAGCAAGTTTGGCATGACGTCAGGATCATCTGGTATCTCAGCTCTCAACCGACTAACACTGATACCTTCATTCTATTCCTGACCTGCCCCTGCCCCTGCTGCTCCTTCTCTTCTTCTTCTCCAGCTCACTTGGCCTTGCAGAGGGACGATCAATTTTGCAGTCGATGGGCATCACTGTCCTCTGCGGCAGCCTTACAGGCGTTTGCTACTGGTTCTCCTTCACCACCCACCCCTGCCATCTGCCCAGCTTTTTCCGCCCTCTCCCGCGATGAACCTTCGCCATCCAAGAATTTTACCATCCCTTTGTCTCCTTAGCCTGCTTCCTGTCAAAGTGACTGAGCGACAGGTTGTGCTGTTATCCCTTCGACGTGGTCAAAAACAAGATCATGGCAGCACCTGACGTCCGGTGCTTCTCCAGCGCCGCCTCTCCTCTCCTCATTTTCCCTCAGTCCACCAGTCTACCGCAACGGATACGATTGTGCAGTCCAGATCTACAGGTACTTTGCTCCTCTCCATTCATTCCATCGGTTTACGCAGTTCATAACTTCAATCACAGGAACGCAGGGTGGAGAGGTTTCACCATCGGCCTCGCCCCCTGCCTCCTTCGCGCTCTTCCAGCCAATGCTGCCGCTTTCACAGCCTTCGAATTGACGATGCATCTTCTTCCCAAGTCGCTATAACAATAGATATCCATATGAATAAGAATAGTCTGGAAATGTACAAGATAAGTAAATCTGCACAGTAGTCCTGAGCGGGAGAATGTTGTAAAGACTGCCGTTCTATCGTATTTCAGATGAATAAGTCGGTCCCTTTAAAGCCGTCTGGTCTTGCTTAGAGTCTCTTCCTCTTTCAGCCTCTGCTGGAACTCAGAAAGCCGTTCACGCAGTTTGTTCACAGACTCGATCTACGCGCATGTTAGGCAGCGCTCACTGAAAGCAGAATATGTAGAATTGGATGGAAAGAAAGAAAAGGAGACAATGAAAGAACAACAAGGATTACCTTCCGCTGGAGCACACGATCTAGTCTGATGACATACGACTCAACCGAACCACCTGGCATCTCCACTTGGGTGAGGAGGCCCATTTCCTCCTGTACAAGTGCCATGTTGTCTTCGATCTGTTGTCGATGGCAAGCCACCACGTCGTCTTCTTCCTCTAGGATGTTGGTGACGAGCTCTATGTTATCAAGTGAGCGAGCAGGTATAGGAAGTCGCTGCATTGAGACCTTCGTAAGCAAGTTGATCTTGGGAACGAGCGAGATCGTCATCTTCCTCATCCAAGACGCCATTATCCTCGGGCGAAGAAGCATTCTCAGCTTTTTCTTGCTCCTCATGTGCCACTCGCGCCCGCTCAAACGGAGGCTGCCCAACCCCTGCGACGTGAACAGGGGTGATTCTAGCTCCTCCGGCGTGTCGGGGAGCAGCCTGATGAGGCATGTATGCATCCTGCAAACCAGCTTAGAAGGGAAGGGCCACAAGCCCGCGGGAAATATGAAACCTTGAGGGCATAAGCATCTTTCCCTCGATCTGCAGACTTCAATTGCTTGACACGGTTGGCATATCGCAGGGTATTCATTGTGTGCTCGCATGCTGAAGTTCCGGGAGATACGTTGGCGATCATCACTGTTCGACAGTTTCCAATAAAACTGAAACATGGGTGTCACCATCGGAAGGCTCAAGTTGTAAGCAACCTGTCCTTCAAGACAGATGTAAGCGTTGATCCACGGAAAGGAACATGCTTGCTCCCTTGGTCAAGAGCCCTTTCACCAGCTTTAGGGTGAACTCAAAAGAAGCCATAATCGTGTACCGAATGCACTCTTTCAATGCAAGAAGAGATTTGTTGATCTCTGCTCCCTCAATGCGTGTCTGTCTATCGTTGTCGTTGACGTCGGAAGCTCTTTCACTGCCCGCCAGATCAATGAAACTCAATTTCCCCACACTCTTGTTCATCCTCTTGAATTGTATCTGTGTTAAATTTTTGAATAAGTCATGCAGACTTCTTTTTGAATACATCCCTACCTGCAGTACTGCATGCGAGCGGGAGGAATCAAGATTGGCCCCAGTGGCTGCCGTCGATCGAGCCTCGTGTCCAACATTCAAAGCATCCATCAAGTGGGCGACACTCTTCACTTCGGTCTCTTGCAGACCCACGATGTTAACCACCTGCTTTTTGGTGATTGCGTGCAATCGAGGAACTCATCGCAAACCTGTTTGGCATCTGCCCTTGCAACAAGTTTTCTTCGGTCATTCAAGAGATCATACAGCTTTCCACCATAGATCTCAAAGAAGCTGACCCAAACCTTGACGATGTCATCAGGTACAAAATGTGACCGCAAGTTCACGTACCGTGAGGTCTGAATAGCCTTTCTCCTTTTTGAGGGTGAAAATTTCATCTGCTGCAAGGAAGTACAGTCCAGGCTGCTCTGGATTTCCCATCATCGTGTGTGTCTTTCCAGAGCCGGTCTGTCCATACGCAAAACAAGAAGCTTTCCCTTGCTTCTCGAACACATATCGCACAAGGGGAGACCCGCATCTCTTATAGACTTCCTTGTTTGCGGTGTTGTCACTGAGAACCTGGGATACAATCATACGATCGTAAACTCAACGAGAGAATCGCATACCTCGTCAAAGAAGAAATTATGTTCTTCAGTGAATTTAGTGAGGTCAACCTGAGCGACATACACAGTTAAGAAAATGAATCATTCAACATGTCGAAGCCACTTTTGTCTTGGGCTCAAGGACGGTGAGAGATTGATTGTTGTCATCCTGGAAGGACAAATTTAAGAAGAGATTTCACGTGTGCATATCATAGGCTACCCGAATCACATCAACATCGCCTTTTTCTGATTCTTTTTTAAACAAAGGACGTTTTCTCACACAGACCTTTTGATCCATAATGTGAGATAAGAAACAAGTGCTTGCTATTGATTACCTTGATCCTGTCTTCAAATTTGCTGTTTCCCTCAGAGGAGGAATCCGCGGTGTGGACCTCAGATCTACTGTTGGATGTGGGGTTTGCCACAGCAAGGTGATTAGATGGTTTCTTGACAGGAAGAGCCTTGAGCTTTGACAAGTATAAACCGTTGGCCATTCACAACAATCAAGAATATGCCTGGGCAGGCGGCTTGTTTCCAGCTCCATCTAGTTCGCGTTTCAATACCTGCCATAGAGGATAAATCCTAGGCATTCATTGTGGCTCAAACCTGTAAGAGAGAGAATAGTTTTCTTCGGTCCTCTTGGGTCATGACCTTATAGTCTGCATAGTCTTGCATCTGCATGGTATTCAATCGAGGTCGATCTGCACAAGAATTGCAAAAGAAATTGACCTGCAAACCAAGAAATTGTTCTTCCTCAATGCCATTGAAGTTACTGGAGAAGTGTCCGAGTCCAGCACTTTTCAGCCACTCGGCAACCCTGGACATGGCGCTGTGTACCTGTGAGACCCGATCGCACCACTGATTGAGTCACCTGGAGCGTAGATAAAGCTCTAGTCGGCAAGAAGACTAACAAACAGAATAGTGGCTATTTGTAGCAAGAAGAAGGCGCAGCTTCCTGCACATAATTGTGAGAACTAACCGTGCAATATCTGGACGATATTACGCAGACTTAGTGCACAGAGCCTTGATCGATCTTGCTTCCTTCTGCGAATAATAGATTACCGAATTAGCATCACTCTAGAATAGATGTTCATCCATTTTCGACCAAATCAGGGTGAAGGGGCGATGAGAAGTTGCAAACAGAAGAAGGTACACTTTCAAACAGATACAAGGGGCGGTCTTAAGAAGACAAGCAACGTTCTCTGAAATCAGGTTGTCTCTAAGACAGTTGGGTATGCTTACACCAGGATTAGATTTGACGGCACAGGAACAGCAACGAAGAGGTTCATGGTAGTAGGGACGAGGAGGGATAGGAAAGGGAGAGAACGAGGAGGTGAAGCATCAGCATGCACTGAGAGGGCTGAGTCATCGGCATAGCTGATACAGCAAACAACATGACTGCCGCCGCCCTCGACCCTGAGAACAGCATGGCGCGCTAACTTGAAAATTTGGATGGTTGGATCTGGGGTAGGGTGGTCCTCAGGGTGGGGTATTGGTGAGCAAGAGCATTTTGTTGATAAATGGTGGGTGGGGTGTGGAAATGGGGGTACTTGGAAAATTCAACGGGTTACCCTTTCAACAGGGTAGGTATATTGAGCACAGCTGAACTTTGACCCATAAAAAGGTAGGGTGAAATCATTAAAAGAAAGGGGGTAATCGAGGAGCGAAACATGTAACAGACCGGTGATGATAAAGATGAGAGGGTACGTGTTCCCTGAACCGGTCATGGTTATCTATGGGGATCGACATTGTTGTGGTGAACCACGGGGTAGAAACAGGGAAATGCTATGTGGTGGTACTCCCGGAATACCCGGTCCAATAGATTTTGATGGGTAGTAGTATGGAATATCTGGGGGTAAGGGTACTCAAGAACGTGATCTCCTCCAGGGGTCGTCGAGGAGGAGTGGGTGGGGGTGGCAAAGTCAGATCAAGAAACATTCAAATAATTCCAACAGGTGAGCAAATATTAAACATTATCGACTCATTTTGCAATTATCACTGTGAAACATTTGAAGTTCCTGAATTATTAACCCCACGCCGCGAAAAATGTTCACATTTTGAATCTCAACGATACTGATTTTTAACTTAACTTTGAGTAAATAAATAAATTCCGATCTCAGTGCCGACCTCGTCGGAGAAAGCAGCACGGGCCCGGCGGCTGGCCCGGGCCACCATGGATACTGATTTTTAACTTAACATTGAGTAAAGAAATAGGCCAAACGAAACAAACATGTCAAATGGGTGGAGCGTGTCTATGGCAGCGATGGCAGCGACACCGTGCTGCGACTCGAAGGAGCTGACGCCGCCGACCAGAGAAAGAGATGAGGAGAGGGAAGTTCCTGCAAACAAGCGAATGATTCAGCAGAGGATCGAAGTGAAGGAATCGCTGCGCTCATCTGTAATGATCAAATTGAAAACTTTATGGTCGTGGAGGAAAAAGGTCGAGAATATCCTTCTGCTGCGTCATCTTGCTGTCATATTCAGGTTGAAGTCTATTGCAAGTTTCACTCTGTTCTGATTGTTGAACGTCGGATCCGAGAAGTTGTTCTAAGGCTAGGAAACTATGTCGAGAAATTTTCAGCTCGTGGAGGAAGCTACTTGTGGCGTCGCGTTCGGCAGCGTCCCTGTCGATGGCAGCATCACTATCCATGGCAGAGTCGTATTCAGAAACCTTCAACTCGCTAATGCCCGAGACTCTTGCGTATCTTGAGCATGCAGTTTTGTTGTTTGTTGAACTGACACTGCTTTGACAGAGCGTAAGTCCGTTGGAGCTTGAAGACGGGAGTATACACGAAATGATTCTGTCTCGCAGGCTAGAAGTCCTTCACGTTTGTAACATGGAAGAGGATCAGAGAGACTAAAAGACGGGTGATGCCTCAGTCTTAGGTGATCGTCGTGACACAGCACATTCAGGTCAAACAAATGGTACACTGTGGAGAGAATGAAGTGGGATACTCAGAAAGCATTGATCAGAGAAGTTGTCACCAATAGTGATCATCATGTTCTTGCAATCGGGTCCTTTTTCTGGTGCACAGGACCAAATGGGAGGATTGTTGTTCACCAACATGAAACATGGACAAGTCATGAGGATCCATAAAGATAAGGCTAGACGAGATTGCAACGGCAACCGGAAGAATTTACCACCATGTGGTTTATATCATCCTGGACATGTAGCACATCTCCATAAAGACAAGCACGTGGAATTTTGTATTCCATTTCGAAGTTAAAGCTCGTCTAAAATCACTGTATCAATCTCACTGTATCTCTGTAACTTAACTCTATCATGGATTCAGGCTTGCGGCAAGGCGATCAGGAAATAAAAGCCTTCATGTACTCTGTGCCATGTCAGGATTTTCAACGGAATTCACATTGAATCCCAACGCTACTTGCAAGCTTCCTGAATTAATTCGAGTTCTCCTCTTTCTTTGGCCATCGACACAAAGCTCCTGTCTCCTAGCGCATCGCGTGCATGGTCGTTGTTCATCACACTTCAGTCGCGACTTTCGGCATGACTCGCATGCCTGCAGCACTTGCTCCCGTTTCCGCTGAACTAGAAAGGGCTCGGTGCTCCCTGACGACCATTCATTGTCATCGTGACAAGGAACTCCAATGCCATAGCATTGAGCGCAGGGCCGAGAGTCGCCACATTTGATCTTCTTGACCTGACAGTTCTTACAGGCTTTCATGGCTCTGCGCTTGAGCTTCAAGTCGAAGGACCAAGGTCCGAAAGCTGAGCTGCGGGACTCGCACGCGTCTGCACGGCCAACACGAATGCAACGAGAGCAAGGGCGTTCGTCGTCGCAGCGAGTCTTGGATCGACGGCATTCCTCACAGGCAGCAAACAGGCGGGAAGGCGAGGGCGCATCCATGGAAAGGAGGGAAGAGATGGAGGGAAAGGCTCGGCTTGCCATGCGCTCTATGGTGTGGTGCAATCCGTGTTCGGAAGGTCGGAGTGCGGATGGCTACGTAGTGGGGTGGACCTAGATAGCAAGTAGGTCCTAGTAGTGAGATACCCACACGGGGTTGGCGTATTTGTCCGTCATGACCCCTATCTCCACAGATACATTTGGGATAATTATAGGGTGGGGTGGTATCGATGGCACTGTGGCAGGGGAGGAGCAAGGACTCGGACCGAGAGCCGAAGATGAAAAGAGAGGCAGTGAGACGATGCAGATTGATGCACACTTGTAGAGCTTGTTAGATACAACACGATTACAGATTGATGTGCACTTGTAGAGCTTGTTAGATACAACACGATTACAGATTGATGCACACTTGTAGAGCTTGTTAGATACAACACGATTGCAGATTGATGCGCACTTGTAGAGCTTGTTAGGTACAACACGAATGCAGATTGATGCGCACTTGTAGAGCTTGTTAGATACAACACGATTACAGATTGATGCACACTTGTAGAGCTTGTTAGATACAACACGATTGCAGATTGATGCGCACTTGTAGAGCTTGTTAGGTACAACACGAATGCAGATTGATGCGCACTTGTAGAGCTTGTTAGATACAACACGATTGCAGATTGATGCGCACTTGTAGAGCTTGTTAGATACAACACGATTGCAGATTGATGCGCACTTGTAGAGCTTGTTAGATACAACACGATTGCAGATTGATGCACACTTGTAGAGCTTGTTAGATACAACACGATTGCAGATTGATGCGCACTTGTAGAGCTTGTTAGGTACAACACGAATGCAGATTGATGCGCACTTGTAGAGCTTGTTAGATACAACACGATTGCAGATTGATGCGCACTTGTAGAGCTTGTTAGATACAACACGATTACAGATTGATGTGCACTTGTAGAGCTTGTTAGATACAACACGATTACAGATTGATGCGCACTTGTAGAGCTTGTTAGATACAACACGAATGCAGATTGATGCGCACTTGTAGAGCTTGTTAGATACAACACGATTACAGATTGATGCACACTTGTAGAGCTTGTTAGATACAACACGATTGCAGATTGATGCGCACTTGTAGAGCTTGTTAGGTACAACACGAATGCAGATTGATGCGCACTTGTAGAGCTTGTTAGATACAACACGATTGCAGATTGATGCGCACTTGTAGAGCTTGTTAGATACAACACGATTGCAGATTGATGCGCACTTGTAGAGCTTGTTAGATACAACACGATTGCAGATTGATGCACACTTGTAGAGCTTGTTAGATACAACACGATTGCAGATTGATGCGCACTTGTAGAGCTTGTTAGGTACAACACGAATGCAGATTGATGCGCACTTGTAGAGCTTGTTAGATACAACACGATTGCAGATTGATGCGCACTTGTAGAGCTTGTTAGATACAACACGGATGCAGATTGATGCGCACTTGTAGAGCTTGTTAGATACAACACGATTGCAGATTGATGCGCACTTGTAGAGCTTGTTGGATACAACACGATTACAGATTCATTTACACTTGTAATTAGATTCTTTAAACATTACTAGACCCTGGACATTTACAATGCACGACCGACGTCTCCCGCTGGCTCCCTCGCGCCTCGAACGGTCACGAGGAGCAGGAGACTCGCCCTGAAAAGAATACTCTTGATTCACCGTCACCTGACTTGACTGTGTCCCGTGTCGACTTTCAGTCTCGCGCTATCTTTTGCTTGTCTTCCCTGCCATGGCTCGCTGCTCCATCAGGTCCTTAAGCAGTTCACGCGCGTCACGCGTGTTTGGATGATCCCGCCCAAGACACTCCGTGCTGATCTCGAGGGAGCGCTCGCACACTCTCCTCGCCTCGTCCAGCTGCCCCGTCTGCTGCTTGCTGAGCGCACGGGCAGCAAGGAGAAAGGAGGACAACTCACCTTCTCGTAAAGAATCGCCATGTTGTACAAGGAATCCGCAGTGGACTGCGAGTGAGGAGCTGTTCTCAGCTTGATGTCCAGGGCCTGGCAGGAAAATCAATTCTGTGAGCCTCCCACTTACCTCAATCTCCTCCCTCCTCCTCATCAACTGTCCATCATACACACCTTGCGATAGAGGGTCAGAGCTCCGTTGCAATCTCCAAGGCTTTCCTTGATAGTCGCCATGTTGTTCAAAGCCCGTGCAACTGCCAGCAGAAAAAAAGCAACACGATCAATGAGAGGAATGGCAAGCAGCTCAGGTTACGTAGCTCCCTGTCGCCATCTAGCATGAAAGTCAGCCCAACCGGTCAGTGGCTCTTGTTTGCAAACCTTCTAGATTTGCATCCCCAATGCTCCCAAATACCTTGACAGCCTCCGTCCAATGTGCCATGGCGCCGTTCCTGTCTTTGAGCTACACAAAAGGTGAGGTCAGGGACCTGAGGATTCAAAGCACCTGCAACAGAATTGCTCCAAGGTTGACGTGAGATCGTGCCACGTCTCGGTGATTCTTTCCCAGAAGTTTCTCTCTCATCTGCGATCAATTCATGCCGAGTATGGTAACGGATAAAAGCCTCAAACCTCGAGTGAGTTCTTGACATACTTCAAAGCATCCTTGTAAGATTGCATATCTCTGCAATATGAATGAGGAAAACTCAAGTGACACAAACGATGTCACCTCAAGATCAAGCCGATGTTTTCCTGAGTCGCAGCTACTTCCGTATGAACTTTCCCATATAGCTTGATTTTGATTTGTAGCGCTTCAGTCATTCTCTGTCGTGTAAATCATTCAGGTAGAAGCGTAAGGAGACGATCTAATCACAAGTTTGGCTTCATCAAGTCTTCCGAGAGCATGATAGGCTTCTCCTAGATTGTTGAGAGTTTTAGCAAGTAGCTCCAGATCCCCAGTCTCGGTGGCTTGTTTGATCTAGAACAGCTTCATTGGATCCAAATATCTACAGAGGAATCCTACCTTGCCAGAGCTCGTCTGTAACAAGGTGCGTTGAATCTGCAATGATCTGGAGGCATGAGTCGTCAATTCATTATGTTCAAATACGAGTGCCGCCTTCAGTGGACCTGCCGTATGAAGAAATCGATGGCTTCAGATACCCTTGTTTCCGAAACAAATTTCCCATGCGGACGTATGCCAGAGCTTCTGCTGAGAGCTGCGAAACTCGTGTCAGCAATGAAGACTGTGGCTCTCATTTGATGACCTGATTACAGCTGCCCAGAATTTGAACTGAAACCTTCAAAAAGTCAAGTGCTCTTGCACTGTCTGCCGAAAAGTTTCCGTAGGCTGCCCCAAGGAGACTGCATACCTACCATACTGTTGAATGAACAGAAAATTGCTTATGTCTCATTCACCTTCCCTTCAAGCTCGAGATTCCCAAGTAGCATCGCGTAATCTAGAGCTGCCTTGAGGATAGGAATTGTCTCTTCACCCCCTCCAGAAGAAATGAGAGATTCTGCGTCATCCAATTCCCTCCGAATGTACTTCTCGATCCTTTCTTGATTCTCTCCGAATGTTTTTGGCGGTGACTTTGAGTCTTCAGCGTCTATCAAGATGGACAGCGAGAACGATTCATGCCTCTCCCGGATTGCTTGCCAGCAGGCGCCCAGCACTTCCATAGCTTGATACTCAAATGCCGAGGCGATGTCGACTTGTCCAAGAATACGGTGCGCTCTCGCTAGACCTTGCAGTGCTGTGATCTTAGTGTTGTCGGTTCGGTCCCCAATCAGCTTAACGGCATAGCGGAAGCACATGATTGCCTTTTGCTGTCGGTTTGCACGATTATATATCAGACCCATTCGTGCAAGAGATCTCGCCTCCAAAGTTTTTTCGCTCGCGTCTTTCGCATGGTCAGAAGACATCTTAAGCAGTTTCAGGGCCTCGTTCAGTTTTCCTTGTCTATGAAGGTCGCATGCGTTATCATAGAGAGAGTCTGCCTGCTGTTTGAGAGCCAAAATTCGCATCGGCGAGAGAAAAGAAGCTGATTGCGAACGCGATTCAAGGTCGGACTCAACAATGTCGGATACATCCTCCAGGCTCGCAGCGCTGCGGATGCTCAGAGTGCTCACTTCACTGACTTCTTCGACGCTTTTGATTTCTATGGAGACATCATCGCTGGCATCCGTTAAGTCGTACGTGACAACATCATTGTTGGGTTGGGATTCAGGACTTTGTGGGGTGTTGACCCTCGCCCTGGCTCTGAACTCCTCCATGAATTGGGTTGGAAGGGGTGTAGGATTCCTCTGGTCCACTTCAAAGTCCCCCTCTTCATCCTCACTCCCAGATGTCGAAGATGAGACAGTAGAGGTAGTATAGCTGTCCGTTTCATGCTTCCCAGAAGTGCCGTTGCTAAAGGTTCGGGTCGCTACCGCTCCCGCAGCCGTTGCTGGTTTGGTAGTGGCAGCTGAGGATGCATCTGTATCCCAGCTGCTACCTGGACGACTCTGACTTGCAACAGACGAAGAATCTTGAGGAGTACGATCGCTATCCTGTTTCTTCTTTCGAAAAGAAGATTTCCAAGAGAATAATTTCTTCATCGATCGCAACTTACGTTCCTATGAACGATACGACATCATCGTGGTTCAAACGAGAGGCTCGAGCCATCTGAATACCCTTTCAGGTAGATGTACATCTCATCAACATTCGTTGGTCATGAATCTTGTGTCTGAATCAAGCATTGCTTGCAAACCACGGCAGTTGTTTGCTCCTTGCAATGTCCGAAACCGAAGCGATCAGGGTGGTTCCACTAAAGATGAGGCGTAACGATCACAAAGGAGGAGGTCAGGAAAAAGTGCATGAGATATGTCGCTCGTCTTTCGCATGGGGCTGGGGAGAGGCAAGAGTAGTGTTGGTTGACAAAGGCGGAGGATATACTTTCGATACCGCCCATGGCGGAGCAGTCGGTATGAGGGTTTCAAAATGTGGTTTCCGGTATTTTGATACAGTCATTCGGAATTATCTTGTAATTTTTAAAAGTTCTTGAACTATTTTGAAATAATTTTTCAAAGAGGGGTGCCGCCCCCTTCCCCCATGCTGTTTACAATGAAAGGGACTGAGTCTTCTAGGAGTAGGATAGTCGTGCTGCCTTCTAATGACGTTCATTTGATACGCTGAGGCGGGTTTCTTTTTGTATCACTCCAATGCCGCACACCTGATTTTGCAAAAAGTTGTACGATGACCTTTTAACCGTCACACAATCCTGTAACGTACTGCAAACATTGAACTAGAAAGCTTCAGTCAATAAAGGAGAAAGCTACTGGTAGTTACTTGAGGTTGAAACCATGCTTGTTGACGAGCCGGACCCAACAAGCGCTCGCATGGCAGACCAGGAAGGGAACATGCAGGACGATCTCATGGAAGCAAGTATCATCATGCGGCATGAAAGTTTCTTGCTCGACGGGTAAGCGCAGGCTGAGCTGTTTGCTGTTGCAAGATAATACCGTACATGATGTGCATTCAAGTACGTTTCATGCTACTGTGAATGCCCGCCATGTATGTTTTTGTCACTGAAGTTGCAAATTTGGCATTCGGATCTTATCGTTACGTACACGCAGAACAGAACCTACCAATACACTCGTAGACGACTCCGCAAGCATCGTAGCCGGTAAAATGGATCAACAGGACGAAGAGAGTCTTCCTTTGAGAACAGTTTGTCTCAGATCAAGCATGGGAGCCAAGAAAGCCATCCAGCTTTACAAGTCATGATGTTCGAACTCGTCATGGATTTTACTCGCTCTTTATGGGATGTAATGGGGAAAAGTTGTCTTTACACATCCCAGAGACAGTAATCTTTGCTTTCAAAGTCGAATAGAAGATGTTTATTCATTTTTAGATTCTGTTTGTGAATGGACGACCATCCATCTGGCTCCTGACTTCTGAATCGGAATCAACTTCGGGACATGTTTTAAGGAAGGAAAGATTCTCATGTTTTGAAAATTTGCTTGCAACTGAACCGCCGGACAGAGTTCAAAATCAATCAATTGTGACGCAATAATTGAGCATTGGACCAAGAAGTATCATAACAGACAAAGCAGTGCGTCATGCTATCTCGTACCTCGTTGAACAATTTGATGATTGATGCAGGGAATATCGAGGGAATCTCAGCGATCTCTTCGAATGACTCGCCAACGGTTCCCCCACATTGATCAGTTATGCAAGGATCGTAACAAGATGCAACACAGTTGATCACCAAGAATGTTTTTCTGAATTGGTTGCAATCCCTGGTAAGACGAGCAAAGCAACTCAGAAAGGTTTGACAATGAACATACAGAAACACGGGAGGAGCTGTTGCAATCGAATAATTCATCAGTACATCAAGCCTTTGAACAACGTTGGTTTCAGATCCACCTTAACTAAGAAGGGAGAAAACCTGATCTCTCGTAATGATTGTGATACTGTTACTTTGTCTATCATAACGAGGTGGATGCAGATACCTCTACTTTTCGATTCGGCCATGTATACAAACCAATATCTAAACTGATGCATGTGATCTACCCGACAAGGAAGAGTGCAAGTACCGGAGTTGCATGCCAGGAAGACTTTCGCTGATCAGTTGTAGTTCGCAAACAGGGAAACGATGAGCCACAAGAAAGTCTTCCACCACCTAGTCAGGTGCCGTGTACCGCAAGAGTTCTTCTTTGCCATTGGAATGAGAGTATTCTTTATCAGGCTGTACAAAATGAATGCTGCCGCAATCTGCAGAGCATCATGCGGTTCATGGCTCGTACATGGCAACTCGACTTGGTCAGCAACATTCTGATTCCAGATTTACTGATTGCAAACAGGACGAACTTGTATGCGAGTTTATCCAGGATGCTCGACATCGACTTTTCATGGTGAGTTGAGAATTTCTCACCCATTATAATCGGCTCCTCTCACACTTGTCTTTTGGATTCAGATAAGAGTATGCCACTTTGAGGTTGTCTTTTGACTTGCATCGTCAGTGAGACTGACTTGAAACTTCCCTGCGTCAGTGGAGGGACGGACAGTTTGACCTCACAGATGAAGCAGCGCAACAAGAGACGCCAACCCCCCTCGTCACGATGGAACAGATCCAAAGTGATTTGAATATTATCATCTCAACTTGAACTTTCAATGTAAAATAAGATCAGCTAACTTTAACCATCCGCTGAGTGACCTGACTTGATCCGATAATAGTAAGTTCGCCTACCTCATCCTCTAAGTTCGCCGACCGGCGTCCGTGGCGTTCGGTCGCTCCCGGCAAGTATCAGTATCACGGCGCCCGGCTGGCGACGGGCCCAACCGTGACCGGGACCCGGGGGCGGCCTCGGGCCCCCGGCCGGTGCCACGGTGTCAGCATTCAATGATTGACCGCAGCCTCCCAGCTTTCGGCCAACTTCAAGTGGGGTGGGGTGGTTGAGCTAGGAATTTTTGTTTGGGGAAGGGAAAGGATAAGGAGAGAACCTCGACAAACTGCCGCAGGCTGCTGAGGACTGAAGCATTGCAGACAGACTGGTCGTTTGAGGTCGAGCTCTGCTCAAGATCGGTGTGTTTTGTTTCTTTACTCAAAGTTAAGTTAAAGATCAGTACATTCTCGGGCTGTTCGCAATTTTTGTGGATTCTTTGCGAACTGCTCTTTGTTGCAAGATCAGTGCTTGAAAATGAGCGGATTCCGCTTCAAAAACAAATCGTGGATCAATCCGAAATTGATGAGAAACACAAGTGAGGTAGGGGAGGAACAAGGGACCATGTATGCGAATCAACAGGAGCATCCTATTTCAAGCACAGATGACACTCAGGCAAAGAAGCAAAAGACAACAAGCAAGTTGGTGCAACCGGTGAACTCGCCCACAAGCCCGTCGTACTCGCCCACAAGCCCGTCGTACTCGCCCACAAGCCCGTCGTACTCGCCCACAAGCCCGTCGTACTCGCCCACAAGCCCGTCGTACTCGCCCACAAGCCCGTCGTACTCGCCCACAAGCCCGTCGTACTCGCCCACAAGCCCGTCGTACTCGCCCACAAGCCCGTCGTACTCGCCCACAAGCCCGTCGTACTCGCCCACAAGCCCGTCGTACTCGCCCACAAGCCCGTCGTACTCGCCCACAAGTCCGTCGTACTCGCCCACAAGCCCGTCGTACTCGCCCACAAGCCCGTCGTACTCGCCCACAAGCCCGTCGTACTCGCCCATAAGCCCGACATTTTCGCCTTCAAACCTTACTTTCTCTCCACCAAGAATCGTGCTTTCGCCACCTTCAAGCCCTAAGCTTCCTCCGATCGGCCCTCTGTTGTCAAGAGATCAATCTTCAGGCCATGAACAGCGAGGACGGATAAGCTTCTGCGTTTGTAACTTGAATCCTTCAGCCACAGAACTGAATCTCTCACAGTCAGTGCCGTGACGGCACTTAATCTGGTTTGAATTTGTCATTCAGATTATTCGAAGGAGCTGGACCAATCAGAAATGTTAAGGTTATGCCCAAAAAGGATGGAAAGGTAGGAGGAGTCAGGTTCATGTAAATCATGTGATTTGATCATTTTCAATTCAGCGTACCACAATCGGGTTCGTCAATTACGAAGATGAGACAGTCTTGAGTAAATGCCGTGAGGTACGTGAGATCAAGTCAAAGAAAATCCTAAGAGAGTTTGTCGCCAGGTTTGTAAAGCCTTGGATAAAAACATTCCCAGTTGGAATTTTGGCTTGCGGGTGAAGCGCCTATTGTGCATTCCTTGCAATTGATTTGTTGTAGTCATATTGAGATCTGAAACTTGCAACAGATTTACGTGAGTGAGCAAGTAAAAGTGGAACCACGATTGAGCTTGTTTTCGAACCGGTGATACAACATAGACTGCTCTTTTCAATTCAAAGCTTGTTGACATATTTTCTTCGATTCGACAAATTGCTTTGGTCATCAAAGAAAGAGAAGACGGGGTGTGTGACGATGATTGCGTTGCCAGACAGGCTGACTGAAAACATATGCAGACTTTGATTTAGACTTCTGGGGATCTGACCTCTCAGACTCGGACTCCTCGGACAGGTCCATTTGATCGGCACAGACGTTGCATCTTGACAAGTTTTGCAGTGTCGATGACTTCGATGATTTGTTCTCTAGTCCCTCACTTTTCAGCTCGCCGATACAGCGGTACTCGTTTTCCACTCTTCTCACTGCATACTCACTCATCTTGGCTGCAGGAGTTCTCTCTACGATCACCCGCGGCTGGTCAAGCTCTCATCTCCTGTTTACCTGCGTTAAAAACTACTCTGCAGCTGAATTCTCCAGGATCAGACCTGATCACAAGCAGAGGGTCCGGCGGCAAGCGGCACGTCGTTACCTGCACTCCATCGCGTGCCTTCAGCGAGGAAATGCGCACGTACGTGGAGGAGCAGGTGCGATGCCCGAGGAAGCAATGGATTTACGAGATCCTTGAGGGGACGCGAGAGAAGGAGGCGGTGCTAGTTGAGACTGCTGACATGATCTTCCTCCCTGACACCGAGGCTCGCAACGACAAGGATACAGTCAACTGGTTGGCAATCATCAAGGATCGCTCCCTCCGATCCCTCAGGGACTTGCGCGGCGAGCATGCGGATATGCTGCAGCGGGCTCAGACAACCTGCGTCGACTACATCTTGAACACGAGAAACTTTGACAAGCACGACGTGATGGCGTACATCCACTACCTGCCGAGCGTCTTCCAGCTCCACATTCACTTCTGCGCGCCTTATGGCTCCTATACCGCAAGGGACGCGATCTACAAGCTCCATCCCCTCGACAACGTGATCTCAAACTTGCGCATCGACTCGGACTACTACCGCAAAGCTCACATCAGCACTGTAGTCACTGAGAGGGCGCTGATCGACATCTACAGCAAGGAAGAGATTCATGAAGCAGAGCCGGTGAGCCCGCAGAGTATGAAGCAGATCTCTAGCTCCTTGGACAACTAGCCTGAGCATCAGTCGTCTGATAGCATGAAGTAATTCTACCTCCGAACAGCAAAGAAAGCTTCTTATCCGAGTACACTAACATCAAAGTCCAGCAGCTCTCCGGTGAAACATTGTCGGCTCACAACGTTCACAAACCTCGATCGTCAAAGACTCTCTGCAGCTTCTTCTCCTGTTGCTTCCAAAGCACTATTGAAATCCTCACAGGCAAGTGTACTGAGACTTGTCAGGCGATGTCCGGTAGCAGTCGTTATGTAGCATACGCTCTTCCTACTGAAAAAAGTCACACTCTCATCCGGTTCTTGTCTGCCTTGCGTCTCAACCACGCAAAGCTCTGTTATTCCTGCCCTCTGATAGGATATGTTTGCTGACTTCCTGTCTTTCTTAAGTAGGTGTCCTAGGCAGTCTCGTTTCTTAGGAAATTAGATTACTTACTTTTCTTTATCTCTAACGTTGATTTGGAGTAAATTGCCGTTGAATCGTGCATTGCTGTCACACGCTTGTTCTTTGGTTTCTTGACGGGATCACTTCGTGTGTCAACACTGGATCGAGAGATACTTTTAGGAAGTTTTCCTAACATTTTGCCCATGGACTCATGCAACTTCAAATCGCGTGTCGACAACATAACGAAGTCGCCAACATTGAATTGCAGATCCTTCCGAGATTTTTTCATAGTCTTCTCCTTCTGAATCGCTGACAACGTTAACGCATCGCGAGCCAAGTCGACGGCTGCCATGATCTTGTCACGAACTTCCTCCACGTCCTCAGCACGATCGTCAGGAGTCAGGTCCAAAACTGTACGAACGTCTCTGCCATAGATGATCTCGAACGGCGTAAGATTCGTCGCATCTCTAACGGTCGTATTCCAAATTGTCTCCAGATGTACGAGATAATCATCCCAAGACTTGCTATCGTGCCGCATGCAGTAGATCCGCAAGGCTTCAACTATGACACTGTTGAACTTCTCAACTCGTCCCTGCGACTGCGGATGATAAACGCTGCTATGGCGTATGTCGATTCCCATGAGAGTGAACAACTCAGTCCAAAATTCTGAAGAAAATAAACTCCCGTTGTCCGAGACCAACGTTTTGCAAATCCCTTGAGCACGATAAACCGTCTCGAAATACGCACGAGCTGCTCCTTTCGATGTGATCGTCTTCTTACACGGATACAAGAACACCCTGTTGGAAAACTGATCGAGAAACACCAAGACGCTGTCGTTTCCCCGCTTTGAGGTGGGCAGCGCTGTAAGCAAATCCACTGAAACCTTCTCGAAACGCTCACGCGGAACCAAATGACTGTGCGGTTCGCCAGCCGCTCGTTGCTTGTAACTCTTGCCTTGCAAACACTCCGCACACGAGTTGACATAGTTCGCGACGTCCTTACTCATGTTCGGCCAGAAGGCAATTTGCGACGCCTTCAAGAAAGTCTTCGTCTTCCCTACATGGCAAGAATCGTCATGAATCAGGCGCAAGAACTTCGCTCGAGAATGATAAGGAATACACACACGTTCCCGACCAAGCGAGTCCTTCCAAAACAAGACTCCGTCTCGCAGAAAATAAGTTCGACGCTGCATTGGAACTAGGTTTCCCTGTTGAATGTCCTGGAGAACCTGCGCGAAATATCTGTCCTGCTGATAATTTTTGACGACATCAGCTGTAAATGCGTTGTCTGTTGCTAGAGCGTAGCAGTGCGTAACAACCTCTGCATCACTGTCAGTCACCTCCATCACCTCCCCCTCCCCAGAGGACGAGATGGTACAAAGCAAGGTAGGATCCAAGTTGACCAAATCAGCACGCTGTCGAATCTCATCGTCTAACGCACTCTGTGACGGCACAACCGTAGAATCGTTCGGACGAGATAGGTAGTCAGCGATGACATTCTCTTCTCCAGGAATGTAGGAGATTTCATCCAAATCGAAATCAGCAAGAATTTGACTCCATCGAAACAATCGACCCGTGAGGTTGCTCTGCGTGAGAAGATACTTGAGACTCTTGTGATCTGTACGAACCAACACCCTGCGTCCGTACAAGTAAAACTTGAAATGCACCAATGCTGAAATCAATCCCAGAAGCTCTTTCTCGCGCACTGAATAATTTACCTCGGCACTGTTGAGACGCTTGCTGAAGAAGGCGACAGGCAATAGATCCTCGCCATGCTGTTGTGTCAAGACAGCACCAATGGCGTAGTCGCTCGCATCGACCAACACGCAAGTAGCTAACGCTGGGTTGAAGTACCTTAAAACAGGGGCTGATATCAAACGCTTCTTCAGCTCCTGAAAGGCCGCCTCTTGCGCGTCATCCCAACAAAACTTCACATTCTTACGTAGAAGATTCGTTAGCGGAAGTGCTAACGCTGCGTAATCCGGCACATACTTCCTGTAAAAGTTCAACACTCCCAAAAACGACTTGAGTTCTTTCGCTGTTTGCGGTGCCGAACGATCCACAATCGCTTGTACCTTTTTCTCTTGCGTCGAGACGCCTGCCTCGCTGATGTGGAAACCGAGGAAATCAATTTCAGAGTGAAACAGCTTACATTTCGACTTCTTGACAAACAACTGCTCTTTACGAAATCGATCCAGAGCCTGTCGAAGCAAACGCTCATGTCTCTCCAAGCTCCCATAACTGATCAAGCAAACATCGTCGATATAGCTCAGGCAATTCTCGAGACCTTGAAGAACACTCTCGAGAAATTTCTGAAATTGATTTGCCGAATCTACCAAGCCGAAAGGAATCCTCCGATACTGATATTTCCCAAACTTCGTGATGAAACAGGTGTACTTCCTCGACGCGGCGTCCAACTCAAGTTGCCAAAAACTTTTCGCCAGGTCGAGTGAGCTGATCCACAACCGTGCCCCAGGTTCTGAAGCATAACGCGCTCTCTCTTCCATGATCTTTCGACCCACTCGTTCTATCAGCTCCATCACCAACGGCAATGGAAAGTTATCATTCCGGATCAAGCTGTTAACGAACCTCATATCAGTGCAAAAACGCAATGTACCATCAGACTTTTTTGTGAAGATTACGGGAGACGTAAACTCAGACGTCGAAGGTTCAATGATCCCACGCTCCAACAAGAAGGCAAGATTCGCTTTCAACTCCTCCTCCAACGCGAGTGGCACAGGGTAAGGTTTCTTTTGCACCGCCTCAACGTTATCCTTGAGTCGAATCGTCGCCTTGAAGGACCGGTCAAGAACAACGTCACTGGGAATGTCGTCACGAATGACATCCGAATAATCTTCCATGATCGTCTCGGCAGCCTTCTGCTCGAGACTCGTGGCACCATCTGTCGGCTGAGCCATCTCCAACAGGTTGCACAAATGTACCACGTACCATTCCGAATCGTTCTGCTTGAGGTCTCTCACTGCCTCAGTGTAAGAAAGTACCTGACACAGCGAGGCGTCCGCAGCCCCGAATTGCTTGTTTGTTGGGCAAACAAGTAACGGAAGCTCGACCATCTTCTTGCGCCACTTGGCAAAGACTCTGGGGTGACCCGCATCAATCACGATCTTGTTCGCACGCATCCATTCCCATGACAGGATCATGTCCGCATGCGGCAAGTCAAGCATGTAGAACGACCCACTACTCTTGAAACTGGAGCCTACGCCCAATTTTGTCTGGAAAACCATATCAGACAACCTACTCGTCCCGTCGGCCATGATAACTCGTTTGCGAACTTCTGCATCCGTGACCGACAGACCAAATTTGCGCACTGCCTTCGTGCTGATAAACGACTCTTCAGCAGCTGTATCGAGCAATGCATTAAGAACTATGGATTGGTTCCCGAACCGAAAGGTCACCGGTACCATAGGTAGAGATTTGATCCTGTGAGAGTCAACGGTGATACGACATTGACGAACATCCCTAGGATCTTCTGGCGGAGGTGTGCCCGGGTCGAAGACAACATTCGAAGTCTGCAAACCCGTGCCCCCGTCGATTGCGCCCTCCGCGGCAACCGACGTCACTGGTTTAAAGCTGACGGTTGTTCAGACCTCGACAAGAGAGGGCACTTGTCTCTGAAGTGACCGAACTTCTGACAGTTGTAGCACTTCACCTTCTTCTTGTCGAACTTCTTCTCCTTGCCCTGCATGTCCTCGCTCTGAGTAGGAGCCGACCGCTTGCCCTCATGACGAGATTGTGCTTGGGTGAAATGAAGGCTCGTCTGACCGTCTTGTGGGTGTCTCTGACGCAGATTAAGAGCTTCGCGATACAACTGCGGCAAATACTTGCCCATCTCCGACGGCTCCGCATGATAAGTAATCCCAAACGTCTTACCATCGCGTTCCATCAGCATGCTCAATTCCTTCCGTAGCATAGCACGTGCATAGTCCATTTGTATTCCATCGACAAAGACGCGTTCCCAGCTACCTAGCGCAACACTAGGTCTCTTGGACACAAGGTAGCACGCCTGCAGGTGTGTAACCATCGCCTGGAATCTTGCGGTGTACGCCTCAACGGACTCCTTGGGCCCTTGCCTAGCCTGCTTCTGCACATGACGCTCAAGTTTCTCAATAAACTCGAATGGTAACCATTTCAACAACAGTTTCTCCACAAACTGTTCCCAATCACCATGCTCAGCAGAGAACTGATCTTGCTCAACCATCGGGAGTGTGGCCCACCATAGCTGCACCTCCGGTCCGAACGCAGAGATGGCCGCTCCTACCCATCGATGGCGTGCTATACGGTGAAATTTACACCTGCCTTCGATATATCCGAGCCATGAGACCACCGACCTCTCCATGGTCTGCTCACCATTGTACTGCAACAATGACTTCGGATCCAGCTTGCAAATCTGGCCACCGTCATTCTCCGCATGCTTAAGCTTGGGAGGCTTGTCCTCGGGTTCCCGAACCCGCTCACAAAGCAGTACACGCATCTCCGCTGCCTCCTTGGCAAGCCTACGGTTCTCTCGCTGGGATTCCTCAAGTGCCCTCACAAGATCCTGGAGTTTGCGATCAGCTTCTCTCTGGGATTCTGCGAGTGCATTTACGAGATTGTGCATCTTATCCATGTTGTTCTGTTCCACAGACCTGAGCTCTCTACATGTCCGGCGTAGGTGCTCGTTTTCCTCCACGATGTCACGAAAACTGGCTTTCAAGGGAAGGGCGGGACCATCGTTTTCATCCCTGCTCTCCAACCATGAAGGCACTGTACGACCACTGTCAACACTGTCGGCACGTACGACAGCCTCCTGCTGAATGACAGTTTCCGACGGATCGTACGCATGTGACTGCGGCGACATGCCTGTCACCGTAGGAAAGCGCGGCTCTGCTGACCCATTCAATGTCTCCTTCACAAAGCTGCCCAACCGCGACATGCTTCGACTCATGAAGTCCGAGACAACGCTACCTGACTGAATGCTCGTCCTATCCATGTTTTCTTGAACAACTTCTTTCAACACAACAACTCCGAGAGGAAAACCAGGCCTTCGCGTACCAAAATGTTAGGAAAACTTCCTAAAAGTATCTCTCGATCCAGTGTTGACACACGAAGTGATCCCGTCAAGAAACCAAAGAACAAGCGTGTGACAGCAATGCACGATTCAACGGCAATTTACTCCAAATCAACGTTAGAGATAAAGAAAAGTAAGTAATCTAATTTCCTAAGAAACGAGACTGCCTAGGACACCTACTTAAGAAAGACAGGAAGTCAGCAAACATATCCTATCACCCTCTTAAACTCATCATCATCCGCTTACAAGCAGGCTTCCTCATCTTCCAGAAGTGGCAGTGCCCTATGACGAAGTCTGCTCCTTCACCCGCTGCACATTCCTGCTCCGCAGGCTGGGTCCTGCTCCGCAGGACCGAAGACTGTCCAGAAAACCTGTCCACTAGCAGCACGGCGGATAACTCGCGCAGTTCTTTTCCCTAGAGCAGGGGCAGGCGGATCAAACCCGATGGTGAGACGACGACCTTGCCTTTAGTCGGAAAGACTTACGAGGTGATGTAGGGCTGTGTGTACCAACTACTGTCCCAGCGAGGCAGGGCCATGGCTGACGAAATGTGGCTGCTGGAGAAGCTCAACTCGATTTCTATTCAAACGTCGCAGAGAAATGAAAACAGAAGACAAGCTAATGCTAAAGAGAAACAAGTCCCTCTCTCTGCTCCTTCTCTCAACTCATCGATTCCGATTTGCAGTTCCTGCTTTCCATCCAAGATAGTGGCTCACGTTCAACCACCATTTTCATTCCCGGTTTCAAACGCCTTGTTGCAGTTGAGAAGTGATGAAAAAATCCATGGACTCCATAGAGGGCTGCTGAAAGCTATACGTCGCGCTTCCCTCTTCCCGCTTTGCCCCCGATCCCTCTGCAACTTCCTCCAATGCCAGCTCTTCCCACCATCCTCCTTCGATGCTCTCCTCCGACGCTGCCTCGTCTGCCAGGCCCGTCCATGGCTGTAGCTTCCCCACCTCTGGGTTCACCAGCAGATCCTCCCAGCTGTAGCCATTTGTATTCTTGTCCTCGTCTTCGATTCCCTCTTGCCTTCCCTCATCCTCCTTCCCGCTCCTTCGCCGCTTCACCCGCCAGTCCACGCACATATGAAGGCTCCTCACGCATCGACTGCATGGCCTTACGGAGTCGCACTTGAGCCGCGACCTCCGGCATCGCTCGCATGCCTGCACGACTTGCTCTCGCCTCCGCTGCAGGACTGGAGGCAGCGCTCCATGCCCTAGCCCTCCTTCGCTGTAGCAAACCTCACCCATCCGGTAGCACCGAGCGCAGGGCCGAGCGTCGCCGCAGCGCACCTTCTTGATCTGGCAGCTCAGACAAGCCTTGGTCGCCCTATGGCTTGACTGCAGCACATGGCCTTGAGACCTCTGGTCGTTACCCTCTGACAGGCGGGAGCATGACGAGGCCTTGGCAGAGCGGATGCAGCGGGAGCATGGGCTTTGCTCGTCACAGCGGGTCTTGCGCAGCCGGCACTGGACACAGGCGGTGAAGGATCTTTTGGAAGGAGGGGAGGGAGTAGGAGAGTAGGAGAGGGAAGAGGGAAGGAGAGAAACGGGGAGCATGGGGTAGGAGAGGCTGGCGAGCATTGCTCGTGTGGCAACCTTGCAAGTGCTTGTAAAGGAACCTGACGAGGGTCACGGCATATTGAAAGGCAAGAGACCATAGGGGGTGGGGTACTGAAGCATACACAGAGGGGGGTGCTGTTATGATGGGGTGGCACATATGCGTTGAAGTCAACCGGGAAGTAAGCTTCTCCGAATTGAAAGGCAGACCAACTCGCGACCCTTCGGAGCCTCGGAGATGCTTGTGACTCGATTCTCTATGACCCGTCCGCACGCTGCACGTACTAAAACCAAGTTTACTACTCGGAAAGGGAACGAGTCATGGCACTGATTGAAAGGCAGCCTGATGCTGTCACGGGGGTCCTGGGGTCGATGAAAGGGGGTAGGTTTACAACTACAGAACTTGCGGCACTCAGGGCCCTCAGACTGATAATACGTGATATGTGAACTAAAATAGTTTTACAGCAGCAATAAGAATAGTAAATATTAACACCTTCTTGTTGTTTACTCAAAGTTAAGTTAGGCCATGCGGCGAGAAGAGAAAAGACAGCGAGAACAACCCTCATCCTACCGACTGCTGTCCCTCAAACTTAACTGATACCTTTACTTAACTGCGCGCACCGGGACCATTCCCGCGCCACGACGACATTTTAAAAAAAACTTTTACAGCAGAAAAAAAGGAAACTCATGACCAAGTTCCATGTTGGTCATTCAGACTTCAACAAGGGACGGGACTTTCCCTTTTCCACACCCGAGAGGTAAACACACGTCTTGCTGACCCTGATGCCTGTTTGATTCAAGTCGATCTTTGAATGAAACACACACGTCTTGCTGACCCTGATGCCTGTTTGATTCAAGTCGATCCTTGAATGAATCGGAAACTTACGTCTTGCTGACCCTGATGCCTGTTTGATTCAAGTCAATCTTTGAATGAAACACACACGTCTTGCTGACCCTGATGCCTGTTTGATTCAAGTCGATCCTTGAATGAATCGGAAACATACGTCTTGCTGACCCTGATGCCTGTTTGATTCAAGTCAATCTTTGAATGAAACACACACGTCTTGCTGACCCTGATGCCTGTTTGATTCAAGTCAATCCTTGAATGAATCGGAAACTTACGTCTTGCTGACCCTGATGCCTGTTTGATTCAAGTCGATCTTTGAATGAAACACACGTCTTGAAACACACGTCTTGCTGACCCTGATGCCTGTTTGATTCAAGTCAATCTTTGAATGAATCGGAAACACACGTCTTGCTGACCCTGATGCCTGTTTGATTCAAGTCAATCTTTGAATGAAACACACGTCTTGCTGACCCTGATGCCTGTTTGATTCAAGTCAATCTTTGAATGAAACACACGTCTTGCTGACCCTGATGCCTGTTTGATTCAAGCCGATCTTTCAATGCTTGTTGTACACACAACCTTGAGATCAGCGAGGGATCACTAGAGCAATCACTGCTGCGTTTACTAGAACACAACGAGCACGACAGGCTACTGCTGTCGGCTAGGACACAAACCTATTCCCCTACACGTGCTGGGGTACGGTGTGCAGTATCATTCTCGGGTCCGGTAAACCACGAGGCTCTTACACATGTTAACGAGCCTTCAAGCAATGTCAACGGAGACCCTAAAGGATCGTGATGAACCGACCCTTCCAACGCCACTGTGCGATCATCATCGTTAAAGGAATGGACGACAGGGTATTCGACAAGCATGAATACCTTGAAGTTATCAAAAGTAAAGCGACAACCGCGAAATTAATCCCAGACGGAACAAACGGAAGCAAAGAGTTCTTGATTCGTATCTGACTTGAGATCCTTTCTGCGCCAACCTAAAAGCTTTAAACCTGAACACGCTTTCTTAGCTCCTGATTATCGGCTTGCTTCGGAAGACGGACTGGTGATACTTGTATCTTCTTCTTTGTAGCATCGCAAGAGATTGAATGTGATTAAATCATAACAACTACATTCATTAGCATGCGAGGATCCAAACTGATTTCTGAACAATCGCTTTTGTTATCTCAGTATTATCGAATATTTATGTACAACTTCAGACTGGAATCCTGGTGTTAACGTCTTTCTCGAATGCTGTTTCTCATATGTCTTTGGCGAGCTGAACACCGACTCCCTCGTCAGTTGATTTTTTCGAGGAGAAGTCAACTTTTCTGTCCACTCGAACGTTTGCGTAGGATTTCCATTCATCTTCTTTCAAGACAAGCTTCAGCCATGGATTTTCTGGTTCATACTGTCCAGGAGGTGTATCAGGCACACGAAGAGATGAGGAGCGAATCACCTCGACAGCCTTGCGTAAGAGCTCAAGAGCTTTGTTGTGATCTCCCCGCGCATCTCTCAAAAGCCTCGCATAGCTGCAGAGCGTCGTGGCGTGCTTGGGGTTCACGAGCAGAGCGCGCTTGAACATGTACTACACCAGCACGAGTCAGGCAGTCGCTGGTCATAAGTCAGTTCACCTCTGCTCCATCCGCGTCATCCATCCATGTGTGTAGCGCAATACCATAGGTACAGAGAGCATCAACGTCGAAGGAGTTCAACTTCAAGATCTCTCGCAGTCTCATGGTCTGGAGAAGCTGATCAGAGATGAAGCGTTGATAAGAACTTACCATCGTTTCAACCCGCGCGTCAAGGTCCTCCTTGCTGGTGTTCACCCTTATGGACGCTTCTTTCAAGCTTCCAGGAACTGAGATGTTGAGATCCTTGATAAGCTCTTTGGTGCATGCTCGCAGCTTCTCTTTCGCCGTGACTGTTGCTGTAGCCCTCTGGTCGGCGATGATGTCTTCCATGGTGATGTACCTGTCGAAGGGTTCATAGTGATCTTCTATCCACACCAACTTCTCATTTATGTCAGTGATATTTGGAGGACAAAGGCTCTCTCCTACAAAATCTATGTGTCCCTTGCCATCATTGACCTTGCGCATGGGGGGCAGATTTTGCCATTCCTCACTGAGATCCTCTTCGTTCTTGGCGAATGTTTGATCGGTCCGCAGACTTTGCAATTCTTCATTGCGTTGTATCGCTTTCATGCGCCTCTCGGCTGTTTTCCACTCTTTCTCCAACAGCTTCTCACGGTATTCCTCCCATGTTGGCAGCGGTTCCTGTAGTTGTTGCTGTTGCCTCTTCGTCATCTTCTTCTTCAGCATAGCGCCATCTATCTCACTCAGACCTCGCAGTTCAAGCTCATCACGCATCCGCTCTTGCCTTCGTTGTTGCCGAAGGCGCAACAACTTCCTCTGACCCTGCCCTCCACGGAGGTGCATTGAAGGATTCAGAAGGATGGATCCAAAATGTGCCTCCAAGGGATCTTGAGGAAGAGAACAAAGGGAACAAGATTCCTTGCTCCTCTTCCACATTTGCTCGCTATTCTTCACATTCACGCTGCATGCCATCAGGTCCCACGCCATCATCGCAACGATCGCACATTTGGAACCATAGCTGCATCGGACCATCCTGGAGCGCATTCCACTTTTTAACTTTAACAGTTTGTTATTAACGTTAAAATAGAAAATTATTTTAACGTTAAGGTCAACACATAGTGTTAAATCAGTGGCATGTGCATGGCCTCCACATGGGGTAGACAACAAGGATGATAGACCGTGACGACGAAGGGGATGGCGACGGAGAGAGAGTGTTAGAGAGATGATGAATCAAGAGAAAGTATGGCAGAGCAGGAGCAGGAGCAGGAGCAGGAGCAGGAGCAGGAGCAGGAGCAGGAGCAGGAGCAGGAGCATAAGGAGCAGGAGCAGGAGCAGGAGCAGGAGCAGGAGCAGGAGCAGGAGCAGGAGCAGGAGCAGGAGCAGGAGCAGGAGCAGGAGCAGGAGCAGGAGCAGGAGCAGGAGCAGGAGCAGGAGCAGGAGCAGGAGCAGGAGCAGGAGCAGGAGCAGGAGCAGGAGCAGGAGCAGGAGCAGGGCGCCCAAGGAGTTTGATGAAATAGCTCTGCTTCGGATGTAACTTCTTCGACAACATTGATAACGTTTTCGCAGAGCAGCCTCGCTGTTGATGTTGTGATCATGTCGGTTCTCCTGGTCGGCGACGGGAACTTCTCCTTCTCTCGCTCTCTGTGCTCCAGCCCACCATGTCCACGGATTACGTCGTTGATCGCAACTTCCTATGATAACAAAACTTCTTTGATCAAGAAGTATGGCGAGGGCGCGCAGAGGAACATTGATGAGATTGTGTCAAGTGGATGGATAGTCAAGCACGATGTGGACGCGAGAAGGCTTGAGAAGTACTTTTCGAAAGACACGAGGTTTGACTACATCTACTTCATGCACCCACTTGTCGATCCAGATGACCGAGTTCGGATGGTCTTCGATGGGAAGATTAACAACGGCGAAGACATCATCATTGCCAACAGATTGCTCATTGCCGACTTTCTTCGATCTGCGAAGGATTTCCTGGTATGGATCCACATGATCTCATACTTTCATCATCACATGTGAATGATACAGACCCTGCCTCATGGTGAGATCAGAGTAGCTTGCAAAGACACCTACCCCTACACGTGGTGGCGAGTCTCTCAGCTTGGAAAGCTTGCGAGGCCCCTGAAGCTGAAGAAAGTCGAGCTGTTTCGCAATGATGACTTTCCTGGATATGAGCCGAGGACGGTGGAGATGGACAAGAGTTTCCCTTCTGCCAAGGTGATTGGGACGACATCGATGATGCTTTCTCCAACTCAATCTTCTCATTCTTTGACTTTTCCAGTCGAAGATGTATAGTTTTGGGGTGCTGAATGACGAAGGGAATGTTGAGTTTGAAGAGCAATGGTACGGAGAGAAAGAGCTGAAACTTCAGATTGTCTGCTCCATCTGTGAGAAGCAATTCACGAGTGAAGCGGATAAGGCAAGACACCTCAAGACCGAGAAACATAACATACGGGCGAAGCTCGAGGTGACAGAAACATTCCGATGATTTTTCACCCGATTGTGCCTGTTCGCGGGTTCGTGCTGAGTTGTGTTTCATCGTAGGAGAAATGGGCCAAGACTGTGGAGGAGATTTACCAGTGAGTGATTGTACGAAGATTGGCGGTGTGATTCTTACGTTTCTCATCATAGAATTGATCAAGAATCGATCATCATCAAGGAATGAACCAAAAAATCGTCTTATTCATTTCTTCTGTACAAAATACTTGTTCCTTGTCCTTGTCCATTCTCTGTATCTCATGCTCTGGCGTTAACGTCAATGATTTCCCTTGCATCAAAGTGAATGATCTGATAGCTGCTGCCTTTCACTCTTTGTTGAACTTAATTCTTCTCTGTCCACTCGACCCCCCATAGTTGGGGGGCATCTGACGAGGTTGGAACGAGACCTTGACATCAAGAACTTCTCTTGTGCTCTCAATGGCAGCCTGCCACCTACTTACCTACACCCTCCCAGCCACTGCAAGGCTGTATTGTCTCACCAGGGCAGTCGAAAGTCTGTCCTCGTACTCCTCGACTTGTTTCTGACATCCAACCGTATGTTAGCAGCAGACAGTCTGCCCCCGTTCCTTCCTGCTCTTCCCCTCATGCCCCCCGTCTCTACTTTACTTCTCCTGCCTCTCCCCACCTCCAACGCGAGCTTGTCACGGGTCATTCGATCCAGCGCTATGTTGACGGTGTTGGTGTCCTTGAGAGTCTCGTCCAGTAGTTTCTGCACAGTCGTTACTCCACAAGCATCTCTTCCATCTCTGAGCAACATCAATCTGGCTCAACATCACATCGACGGTCGAATCTGCTTTCTTGCATGCAATTGGCCCCGCTCTACATGTCCCCTGTTAGTCAACGCACGTCTGAACAAGAGAGTATACATCACGAACTGTCTGATGGAACTCTTGAAGACAGACTTGATCTGCAACATGTCGAGACATCTGACTGGACTGACAGAAAGAAATAAATCAAGCTGATCACCTGATCCCATTCTTCGAAGTCGATTGAAGGCGAGTTCATTGCTTGTTTCAGCTTGCCATGTAGTTTCTCTCCATCGACAAGGGATTTCTGTCTTCTGCTTCAAATTTCTCTCTCTCTTCTCTCCCGCCCTCCACTGACCTCGCACGCAACATTCCTCAAGTTTTCGAGCTCTGCCGCTTTGATTGCTCCTTGTTCACCAGCATTGCTGCTGTGGATCAGCATCCCACAACAGGGAAGGAAAACTGACGCGACCTGCACCCAGTGATGGCTTTCGAGACGAGCTCCAGAGTTTGCTCGTACTTTCCATTCTCAAGTTCATTCTTTGCTCTAGCTTCTGCAAACGTCAAAATTAGATTCCTCGTTGCGCGCCCGAGCTCCTACTTTCCTAGCTGCTCCACTTCATAGAACGCCTTCTTGTGCAAACGATACAGCCTCGCTGCCGCTCTTTGCTTCTCCTTCTCCAGCAGACCGTCATCAAAGCTTACCTGTACGGTTCACTTACATGAATATATTTGGAACACAAAGAAAGATCAGAGTTACGATCTCAAAAGCCGCGTGACAACCCGAAATTGCAAAGCAAACTCCAGCTGGAATTTTCTCAACAGCTCTCTCCATTAGGACGCCATTGAGTCCGAATCGCAACATGCCTTCATCCGTATCCAGCAGCAGCGTCAACCTGTTTACCACACTCTATCAATATCCTCACCGCTACCATGACCTCGAGCGATGTCCCTTTTATGATATCCTCAACTCCTCCTCCTTCTCCTCCTCCTCTGACATACCTGTCACCCTTGGAGTAAGGTAGCATGCCTTCTTTGTTCACTTTCTGTCCGTTGGTGTAGTAGAACCCGTCTTGGCTCCAGCACCAAGTGCTGTTGAAGACGAAGACGTCGTAGACGTCTCTCAGCTTCCTTGCCATGTCCGCTTCGTTGTACGCTTCCAAACTCTCCCCGAGATGAACCAGACCGATCTTGGACATCGAGAACATGCCTGCCTGTGCTACCATCAGGTGTGGATACCAATGATACTCTCTCAAGATACCTTAGTGTACTGCAAGACAAGGCTTTTCCGGCCAGAGTCCGCATCGAATGGGGTACCTTCAAACGTTGGAAGAGCGTCAAAAGGATGGGACAATGCTTCCTTGAAGCTGTTCACTGACATCTCATCTTGATAGCTTCTCACCTATGATCGCACATCCTCCTTTCCCTCCTCCCAGGCTGCATTTCCGTCCATCTTCCGACGCCTCGCTCCCGCTGCTGCCATAACCAAATCTCATTCTCCCTGACAAATCCTGCTCTGGACCACCCCTTTACAAATGACCATCCCCCTCAGTACCCCCAATTTTCCACTAAAATTGTGGAAGTGCACCCCGTTGAGTGACGGCTCTGGACACCCCACCCATCTTTCCCCTCCAGTCGGGCAACCCGGCGGTGTGCAGGTACGACCAAAGCAACAAGCCGAAGCAAGATGAAGATGGAAGAAGAGGAGGTGAAGATAGAAGAGATGAGAAGACGAGAAAAGAAGGAATGAGAAGGGAGAGGATGAGAAGGGAGAGAGCTAAGGCTGTCAGACAAGTGCAGGTTTGAAGAAGAGAGGTCGAGATCGCACCGTTCAACATGGGCGAGAAGGCGCGAGGGAGCTGGCTCTTCTCGTTCCTTCTTTTGTTAGCCCTTTTCGACATCTTTGCCGATGCCGGGGACGAAGTCGATGAAGTGATCAACAGAGCTCTCAAGATGGAGAGTGAAGGAGACTATGAAAGAGCACTGGAAACCATCGACAACATTCCCAAAATCGCACCTGACAACGCGCATGTCGTATTGTTGCAAGGAAGATTGCTGGTCAAGCTCAATGATATCAGTGCTGCGCAGAAGAAGGTCAAGAAGGCCATGCAGATGTTCCGCAAGCATGGGATGAAGACGCGAGACGGGACGAGCTTGCGCCATCTCGAAGAATGTGCTGACGTGTTGATCCGAACTGTTTCTCTGGCGTATGAGAGAGGATCACAAGAAAACACAAGGATGTGCAAAGACGCACTCTTGTACAGACCAGAGCATGCCTTGTGCTATTATCTCTACTCTGTTCATCTTCTCACAACTCAGAAGGGCTCTGAACAGGCGGACAATGACAGAAAAGTCTTGACGTCGCTTCACAACAGCATCCGTCTCGGTCATCGTTCCCAGCAAGTGAATGCATACTTTGCACTAGGTATGTTCCACCTCCAGAGAGGTCACTTGATCTCCTCGGCCTCGGCGTATGAGTCTGCTCTCAAGCTCGCTCCCAGCAGTGCTGATGTGCTCATGCGGGTGGGGGAGCTGCGATCGCGTCTAGGGCAGCACAGGATGGCGCAGGAGGCGTATGAGAGAGCATGGAAGGAGAAGCCCAAGGACGGGGACGTGATGATCCAAGTGGGAAGCTCCTTGAGGCGACAGAAGAAGTACAAAGAGGCCATCAAACAATACCGCAAGGTAGTACGATTGTCAACAGCGTCTGAGCAGGAGTGGAGCGACGCGCAAGCGTGGATAGGAAACGTGTATGAGCTGATGGGGAAGCACAAGGAAGCAGAGGCGGCGTACCGACAAGTTATCGCAAGGGTGAGGCGGCACGGGCGGGCCTGCAACAACTTGGGGTCGATTTTGATGGCTCGGAATGATGAAGAGGCCTTCTCCTCCTACATGTGCGCCATAGAGGCTGACCCGACCATGTTCGAGGCCTACAACAACGTCGGAGGATACTTGATGGGCGTATGAGTTCTGCTTGAGCCCCCCTTGAAGGCTGACGGTGTTGGAGAGCAGAAGGGAAACGCGTCGGAAGCTCTTCCGTACCTTCAAGTCGCCTACTCCTTGGACCAGGTGCTTCCTGCTGCTGCTGCTGCTGCTGCTGCTGCTGCTGCTGCTGCTGCTGCTGCTGCTGCTGCTGCTGCTGCTGCTGCTGCTGCTGCTGCTGCTGCTGAGCAGGATGTGACTCTTGTTGTTCCCAGAGCGAACCTCAGCTCATCTTCAATCTTGGTGAGTGGGGTCAGGACTTGGAGGAAAGGATAGTTATGTGTCTTCCCGGCAGGTCTGGCCCTTCGGAAGACTGGGAGCTCACATGAGGGAATCTCTTACATGAGGAAGGTGATGGAGGAGGAGGACGAGAGTGAAGGGGAAGGAGGGAGCACGGGAGCAACGGAGGGCGGGAGGGAGAGAGAAGTGGGGTGGGGGGGGGGGAGAGGATGGGAGGAAGAGAGAGGAGAGGGCAGGTCCTGTCTCAAGTTTTGATTTTGAGCAAGGCTCTCTCCATGCGACATACCAACAAAGACTTCTATTGGGAACTTGCGCGAAGTTACCTATACGAAGATAAGATGGGTAAGATGATGATAATGATGATAATGATGATCAGATCGTGATGACAATCGAGCTGTTATCCTCAGAATCATGAGTAACACTGCAAGAATGATTTTGATGTATTTGAGATCACTGTTCGCAGTTTACTGATGAATGTTCATCTTCACCATGGTGTACTCTTCTTGTGTGCTGATCATTTGTTTAGATCTCATGCTCTCAACACTGGATGCGATGTCAAGAAGCCTGGGCAAACAGTGGGGAGAGTTGGAAGCAGGTGTGCGGCGAGGAAGATTCCTTCAAGCTTGTTTACACGAGCTTGATAGGGCTCGATGCTGATAAATTCATTCACGCTCAAAACGCTCGAGCTCTCAACTTCTACAAAAGGAAGAAGGGGAGGGGAATAGGCAAAAAGTCATCGGGGAGGTTGCAGAAGGGTGTTATCTTATACTTATGTTGCGCTGATGAAGATGAGTTGAAGGTAAGTTTGCTTCGAGGGACTGTTCACCTGACATATTCACAGGATCTTCACTACAGTCTCAAGTTACTATACAATCACTTTACTAAAGAATTCTCTTACCCGGTGCGATTGTGTCCTTGTTCTCATGGGGCGACTGTGATATGCTTTCAGGTCATCATCTTGCATGACAGGCTAACGCAAGAAAACCAGACGACTCTCTCTGCTGTCTTCGGGTTCCCCCTTATCGTCTCCTTGTCCGTTGACCTCGAACTGACAACAGCAACAGCGATGGCAACTTGTCGTTTCATCGCATCGAGGTACTCCTTGCCTTCAGCTGACTGTTGTTAGAGCTCTTCGCAGCTCGCATTCCCACCTGAGATGACAGAACAAGAGAAGGCAAAGATACCCCCTTATCTCATGCTGGTGAACCTTGACAACGTTCCAGACTCTTCTCCTTGACTTTTGCAATCAGGCGGGTCATCGATGGAGTTATGGATACCGACACATGTCAAGATTTTTCTGTCACGGTGAATATCGAATGCTCTACCACACATACCCTCTCATTCCTCTCCCATACAGCCTCTCCCTCCTTCCTCTACTTCATTTGCCCTGCCGATTTGCCGATGTTGCATGATGGTTTATGACACGTCATCTCTGATACCCCCAGACATGTTCTACCTGGATGTCCTACAGCCATTCGATTATTACTGGCGACTAGATGCAGACAGGTTTGCGATGAACGTGTTGACTTCGGCTGAGAGACTTTCAACAGTTTCCTCCTTTCTCCCATCCCTTTCGACGTGTTTGACAGAATGGCGCGGGACAAGCTGGTACGTTCCGCAAGTCACCGTCTGCTCGTGACGTTTCTCCCTCACAAGGAATACGGATACATGGTGGTAACCCAGGAGGATGAGGAAGTTGTGAAGGAATCTCTCTCCGGTTCTCCAGTCGTCTCCGTGATCGCCAATGAACAGGGTCTGTGGGACGTCACAAGAGACTTCGTGCATGAGAACAATATCTCCCTCTCTACGACGATGCTCTCCCACCACGTTGGAAGTTCCCTTGCCTCCTGCCATCTGTTGAAACCCCACAGCTTCTGCAGGGTGGAGAGTGGAATCGCAACATGTTCTACACCAACTTTGAGATCTCGACCTTCGGCTTCTGGAGATCAGTGAGTGCTAGATAGTGCCGTGTTGTCCCGTAGTGAGCGACTGCGGGTTCAGGCTGCCTACAAGGAATTCTTCAACAAGATCGATGAGTCTAGGGGGATTTACTTGTAATCATCTCAACTCCTCCTCCTCCTCCTCCTCCACGTCCTGCTCCTGCTCCTGCTCCTGCTCCTCTTTCTCCTGCTCTTGCTCCTCCTTCTACTCCTCTTGCTCCTCCACGTCCTCCTCTTCCCCCTCCTCCTCTTTCTCCTCCTCCTCCTCCTCCTCCTCCTCCTGCTTCTCCTCCTCCTCCTCCTCCTGCTCCTCCACGTCTTACTCCGCTCCTTGTGCTCTTGCGCTGCTTATTTTGCCTTCAAGACACAGGTGGGGCGATGCCCCCATTCATCTTCTCGCTATTGGCCTTTTCATGGTGAGCCGATATTTTCATGTTCGGCAATCTCAATGATCAGAACATGGACAGCCGGAGAGCAAGATCTTGAAGTTTCGTGACATCAGGCAAGTCAAGTTGTTGTTTCTTGATGTGATGTAGAGATTGATGACAAGTGGAGAGAAGATGATCTAAACAGACGAAGTCTGACGTTGATTTTTCAGCTACTGGCATCAATATTACGTGAATCTGCCTGACTTTGATTGATTTTTCATAAAACCTCCTGGTCCCGATTGTAATGAAACTTTCAGTCTATTGTATCTCATTAGCCTAGTAAGTTGGCGGCTCAGACTTTGACTTGCCAGGCTGGCCGTTGCTCTGCAAGTATTAACAAGTCCGAACTAGGAAAAGGAGGAGGCAGCGAACTGAAGAACTTGAAGACCATCACATACCTTCCGAAGTTCGGTGCCACGACGGTGGGCGGAGGCCCGGCGGAGGCCCGGGCCCGGCGGAGCAGCCCGGCAAGTGACTAGCTCCTCGACCGGGCCCGCCTGTCCACGGCACCAAGTCCTCATTTTCAAAATCCCTAACAATAAACAAAAAATCGCCTCCATGTGATCAATAAATTGTGTATTTCTTCTCCATTCCTCCGGGAGACATTTCTATTGTTTTCGTTTCTACTTTATAGGAATTCTATTCTCAGGAATCCAACTGGGTGCGTCAGCCATGCCGCGAACGATGGCGATTGTGCTGCTGTTGCTGAACATGCTGAGAGCCTGCGTCGGAGACGATGGCGTCTACGAGGTGAAGGATGATACACTAGCATGGATCCTGTCATGTCATCATGTTTGGGCAGGAGGCCTGGGGTGTGCAATCAGGATGTCAAGGATGTTCGTACGTCGAGGGACATGTGTTGGAAAGACCAAAGGAGGAGGTGAAGAGAGGAGTTGGAGAAGCAACATCACATGCTCTCTCTTATGAGATGACTAGGTTCTGTACATGAGATGCTCTTGCCCCGCTACTTCTGCCGATGCAGCTTGCATCTGCGCCAGCCAGTATGACTGGTGGTGGAATCTACAGGCCAGTAGAGAGGTTCTTAACATGAGGAGCTGATAGAGATTTGTTCAGTGCTCGAAGAATCTTACAGTCAAAGTGGATGGATGCCCTGAGGGTGTTGAGTGGAACATGGTAACAAGATTGTTCCCCTCACTCTCGCTCTTCGCTCCTCCCTCCTCCCTCTTCACTGCTCTTTTGATCCTCTCTTCCTCTCCCGTGTTTTCTCTCATTATGAAGCAGGTTGCAGGGAACTTCAGTGGGATGGTGGGACCCGTTGATCGTTCTTTTGGGTGAGAATGTAAAGTGATTGCTGGCTGATTTCTCACAAAACTGGTGCAGGTCTTGCAGCATGAACAACAGCCACGACTATGTGTGCACAGGAGTGTATGGAAACAACAGGATGGGAAGGTGAAAGCTATGGAGCAACTGTTGCGCCATTGACCCGTCCTCTCAAAGCACTCGGAGAATACAGATCGAGCTTGTTCTTCGTGGGAACTGTGGGAGGCAGAAGGTGGGGACTACCTTCAGACTTGCTATTGCTCCTCATAATTTTCCTCTTACCCTGCCCCAGTCGGTGACCTGGAGCCTTCCGATCGCCTCCGACCTGGTTTGCACCAACGTGGAACAGGCAAGAATGTTCAATTTCCTTCCATTCTGCTTGCGGCAGAGTCCAAGAGAAGGTCGACACGAGGTTCTGGTGATTGCCGTGTGAAACAGGTTCTTGCGGAGGTCAAGCGAGGGTCCCCAGCTGAGATCATCATAACGATCGTCATGTTGGTTATCGGGATGTGTATGGGTATCTTCCTCTGCAGGCGGTCAAGGTATCTTCATGTTCCATCGTCCCCTTATTTTTTCTTGTCTTGTTCTGTTTGCTCGCACTCTGTCATACTTTCCTCCTCTCCGAACGTCTTGGGGTGACGTCATCACCACAGGGAGCCGACCTTCAGCGAGAAGCCCTCACGCTACATGCAAGAGATCGAACGAGAGGACGCGTTCGAGATGACCTAAGGATCTGGTCTTGCTCCTGCTCCCTGCTCTCTGCTCCCTGCCCCCAGCCCCTCCTGCCTCCTCAAATCTTCCCCGTGGTCACCGCCCGTCGTCCAGTCCGAGGACGACTGAACTGTTTCGGACACGGATAGGAGGAGCGAGTTGTAATCGTGATGTGATGTAGTATACACAACTTTACACAGTGTTGGGTCACGAGGAGCATGGGATCAGACAGATTGCTTGTCCTGGGAGTGACAGAGCGTCGACAAGGTCAGGGTTGAGGTTGAGAATGAGCTGCCGCACAACGTCAGAGGATCAGGTAGACCAGGGACGAGGCAATGGGCAGGAGACGGTAACGACATGGTGAAGCTGGAATCACCAGACATGGGAGAAGAAGGCTGTAGGAGGGGGAGGTAGGAGTTGGTGGTAACAGTGGAGGATGGGAAGGGCAAGACAGACTGGCAGAACCTTGATAGTGGTTTGAAATCGGGTGGCAATTGAGAGCAGAGTGTCGCTATTCTTCGCCTGGGCAAGTTTGACTGACAAGCTTAACGGTCAGGGAGTGTTTTGACACCTCATAGCTCAGGCCGACGTTGATTATCGACTGCACTCCTTGAGTTGACAGCAGGTCCGGATGGAAGATGCGCTGCAAAGTCGTGAGAGAGGGAGGGAGGAGTAAGGAGGGAGGGAGCGAAGCAGGGAACAGAGAGGGGAGACGGGAGGAAGGAATGATAACCAACTTGTGTGTTGGGATCGGAATCGTCGACGGCATTCATCGAGAACAATCGCATCCAGTTCACGTCGATGGAGAAGCTCTTCATCTGCCGGGAACAGCATGCAGGCTGAGTGAGGAGAGGAGCACTAGTTTAACGCCCCTACCTTTGACAGGAGTGTCTCCTCTGGGTTGACACAATACTTGCACTTCTGGATCTGCCAACGAGCTTCACGACAAGTCCACCAGCTGAAGTCCCCGCCCCCCCCGCCGCCTCCACCCACCTCGATTGACAAACACCTCCTGCTAGTCAACAGGTTTCCTCCTTGCGACTTGATCAGCCCCGTGTACTCCCCTGTCCCCACTCCTGCAGCGACCAGGCAGAGGAGGAAGGAGGAGCCTTCGGTTCCCCGAGGTGGAGAGACGTCCAGCTCACCACGAGTGAAGTTCTCAGCTCGGGTGATTGAGAGTTGCATCCATTCCTGCAGCTGCTGGTTGTCCGCCACGAGGATCGTTGCGTTGTACCGCCCAGCCGCGGCAAGGAAGGCGAACTGGGTATGGCAGCCGACGTAGGTCACCACCTGCACCGCCTGTTCTCCCCCAGCTGTTCCAGGCAGCCAGGTCACCTCAGCCGCTGTCACGTGCATATCAACACAGAGGGAGTGGCTGTAGAAGCCTAGGGATGTCGCTCGTCGTCCTCCTCCCGTCAGCTCGCTGCTCTGCAACTTGTTGCACTGGATGCTGTTGTCTTTAGCAATGAAGCAAACCCTGAGCTGCGATTAAGCTCCTCCTCCTCCTCCTCCTCCTCTTCCTCCTCTCGGCTGAGCCCCACCTGAAAACCTTCCCTGACGAGTCCTCCGGTGGCACCCACTATCGTTTCGCAGTGAGATGAATGCATTCACAAAGTACAGAAGAACAGGATTCCGTTGAGGAGAGCAAGCGACAGAGCAAGAGCAAGTTAAGTCAAGAGTTGGGGCAGTTACAACTATCTCTGCTCTGATCATCATGTTTCATAGCAGACTTGGGATCGACAGACTCAACAACAGATCCTTCAGACTCAATCGGGCACAGGCTCGACCAGCTGCCTCTCTGCATCTCACTGTACTCACCGAGAAGCTGCTCCTCACATCCGAGCATCCTGACCCTCCCACCCCAGCTGACGTCGAGCTCAAGTTGTACACACAGGTCGCTGGCGTCAGCCGCGAGTACATTGGGATCCCAGGGTTCTCCATAAGGAGGATGGAAACTTGATCCTGCCGCTGGCAGTCATCCCATCTGTCAAAGTTTGACAAGAACCGACCTCAGTGTTGGGGTCGCGAGCGCGGAGAGTGAAGGATATCTCCTGCCCCACCAGCATGTCCAGCTGCGCGACGCCGACGCCGAAACCGGTGACATCCGAGGTCAAGTAGGGAGACTCTAGAGGGTCTGCTCTGCTGGTCACGAACATGGGAGGCCCCTGGAACTTGATGTTATGGCATCGCAACTCGGAGCTGTTAAGACCCCTCCCCCACACCAGCGCCTGAGCATCATCAGCCGCAGAGCTCCGGAGTTCACCATCTCTCCCCACCTGGTTGTCGGTAGCAAGGAAGCAGACGGTCTGGTCGGACGCGAAAGCCGCGAAGGAAGAGGACGAGTCGGAGTCGAAGAGGAGAGGGGAAGGGAAGCCGTCCTTGTGAGCGACACTCACGTTGAGAAAGAGCGAGCCGAATCTGCACGCGTCCGCGAGGAGGAATGGCTGGGATGAGTTGCAGCTGGAGTTGAGGTGGAGGGTGAGCGGTGACGTGGACACTGTCGGAGAGCCAAACTGGAAGATGGTGGAGATGGATGTGTCAGACAGGAAGCTCATAGTCACGGTATCGCCCATGTCAGGGTCAGAAGCTGAAAACAAGTACATCATCGGGTCGACATTTGACGCGTACTTGTCAAGGGAGTCAGCAGAAAGACTTCTGGATGACAGGTGGTACCTGAGCTGGGCTGGAAGGTAGGTCGGGGGAACCAGGAGACACGTCAGTAGCTGAGCTGCTCTCGATCCAGCAGGCTGACAAAGTTTGACAAGAGGCTCTTTGCGACGCCGACACATGCTCAACTGCCGACTCATTCGAGAAGAACACGATACGCTCGCAGGTGGGGGACTTGGCTGCGAGAAAGGCATTGCTGATGAGGTCGAGCTGGACTATCCTAACAAAACTCACCTGGACTTGTGATCTGCGGCGGTCTCCCGACCACCTCGACGCTGACGCAGGCTGGTGGGCCGTAGCAGCAGGTAGAGCAGGAGCGAGCCTGGAAGCAGAGGGAGAAGCGTTTGCCAATGTCATACTCGACCGGGTAGCTGTGACTCCTCCGACCGCCGAAGATGTGCACCCTCCTGCGTACGAGGTTGGTCTGCCCTGTCTGAACCTCCTCGATGACGTGGCAGTTGGACTCGTTCAACTCGCGCGAGAAAGTCGCATTGATGCACCCTTGGATGGACGCCTGCGAGACGTCTACCTCCACCTGCTCCCCACCTGCAAGGGTCCGCATGTTGTCAACGCACTTTGTGCTCTGAGAGCCCAGGGTATTGGCGTCAGAGAGACCCCACGAGCAGCTCCTGTTCCTTCCCAGCAGACTGCTGACCGAGGAGTCATACGCTGCTGCCCCAAACTCGAATGTGCAAGGAGATCCCACAACGCACTCGATCCTCCTCGGCATCGGCGAGTGCCAAGGGTTCAATCTCACCAGCACAGGAGGGAGATGGCCCTGCAAGCTCAGCAGTCATCGTCGTCAGAAGATGATCGTAGCGCTCACCTGGTTATTCAGCAAACGGATTCCCGTAGAATCCGCAAAGAAATTTGTGATGTCACTGCAGACCCTGAAGACAACTTCCAAGGCCGAAGAAACGCCCAGCACATCTCTGAGCTTCACTCGAAGGAGATAGAGAGAGTTGGCAGGGCCTTGGAGGGGGCCTTGAAGGGTGGCAACTGCTCCTCCTCCGTCCTTGACGTCGTTGGCCTGGAGAGTCCACTCACCTGGAAACAGGAGGCAACGTTACACAGGTGAGATGAAACACTTGTCGGGGGCTCAACCTTCATTCAGAGGAGATGCGACAGGATCGGAGTTGCAGGACAAGATGTTTCCACTGAGAGAGGTCGAGTTGACGTCCCAGACCGTGACCACGTTGTTGCAACTTGATGAACAGCTCCTGGACCTGCTCGCTCCATCCTCATCCACACCTGGGGGAAGGGTTAAGCATTCACACTCCAGAAGATCTCAGGGAGAAGCTTCACCAGGGATTATGAAAGACACTGACTGTGTCTTGTCGCTGAGAGCAGGAATGGTTACAACAGGAAGCATTGCTGAAGACGGAGAATGGTGGTTTGTTGCTGGAAACACGGAGTACTCAATCGCACGCGGGTCATAGTCAGGAAGACACGCTTGGCATCCAATGAGGGAGATCGTTGTTTCAAGAATCACATTGGTGTTGGCGAGATCCACTCTACTGGTTGCGCATGAATCGACAGTCGACGCATCTATGTAAGGAGCAAGGCAGGTCGATGTGACCCCACTGCTGCACCTGATGAACCTCTTGAGCACCGTGCTCTTGACGGATGCTGTCAGTGTTGGCTGCTGGACTCCTTCATAGCTATGGTAGCTCCTTGACACTAGCTGAACAGAGACAAGGGAAACGCCGTTCACTACCGTCTGGCCGACAGCTTGTACTAGGAAGGGCAAGCTCGAAGAGCTTGTTCCATCTCCATAATCAAGCGTGACTCCATTGAGAACAACCTGCTGCCCGGCTGTCGGTGTTCCCCCTATCGCTGTGTCTGTTACCACCATCCTCGCTGTGAGAACGACTTTGCCGAAGTTCCTGGCACACGAGTTTGGAGCGAAACTTCCTTCCCCTCCTGCGACCAGCCCATCACAGGAAGGAGATAACAGCTGAGGTGTGGCTCCAACTCTGTCCCATGTCAGAGAGCCGGAGAGGAACGAGGCTCCTGCCATAGCGGCGCCTGCCCATAAAGCTACCACGAATAACAGTGCATACGCCGCCATAGCTTCATTGGCAAGTATTTGCTTGCTGCCACAGTGATGGCCAAGTTGAGAATGTTGTTATTGAAATATCAAATCTTTGCCATATTTTTCATAAAAGTTTTCCAAGTTTTAGATGTTGGCTCAATCAGTGCTATTTTAATCATCAAACGCCATCCACCCCTCTCTTTCTACTCATTTTCTCCTAACCAGGGGAGGTAGTGAGGACTAACCGTTGATGGCTTGTCATTCTGGTGAAGTGAGGGGTTGGCCTGCTTCACCAATTTTGAGTGAGGGATGGCCCGACTCCACTTGTAAATTCACAGCACCTGGCGGCCATGGCTCTAATGAGGAGGATAATCGCAGGGAACATTCGCATGGCGGGAGCGCTGCGCCCCCTGTCCTCCTCCTCTTCCCGTCTCTCAGCTCCTCAAAGCGTCGTCAGTGCAAGCTCTTCCCACCCATCCATCGTGGGGCTTGCCGTTGGCCCCGCCCGCCCCAGCTGCAGAGGATTGAAGATCCCTTCGTCAACATGCCAAGGGCGGAGAGCGATGAGCTCTACAAGCGAGGAGAAGAAAGATCTCCCTCCCTTGGTGTACGAAGACACCTTCATCAAGGTCTGCGCCCCCCTCTCAGCCCTGATCCCCCAGTGTGACATTGAGGCTCAAGGAAATCCTCCGGAACGTCAGGACCATCGCAATGGTGGGTGCATCTTCCAACTGGAATCGCCCGTCCTACTTCGCTATGAAGTACTTGATGGCAAAAGTAAGAATTCTCCTCTTGTCTCTTCCTGTCTCATCCATCGATCAAGGGATTCCGCGTCATCCCGGTGAACCCAGCCAGCCATGGAAAGAAGATTCTCGGGGAGCATGTCTACAAAGACCTTATAGAGCTCAGCCAGAGTGACATCAAAGTAGATGATTTTTTTCTCTTTCTTTTTCTCTTTATCTCTCTCTTTGTTTGAATTCATCTGACTGCTCGAAAGATCGACATGGTGGATGTTTTCCGAGGGTCGGAGTTTGTTGTGCCCATCGCAGAAGACGCAGTAAAGATCGGGGCAAAAGTCCTCTGGATGCAGTTGGGAGTGAGGAACGAAGAAGCAGCGAAGATTGTCAGTTTCTTCGGACTATAGTTCATGCTCCCTTATGTGCCATGCAGGCCGAGGCAGGAGGGCTGAAAGTTGTCCAAGATCGATGCCCCAAGATTGAATTCAGGTGGAGCTGAGACAGAAGAATGCTGGCAGGGCTCAAGGACCTTTCCTGACTTTCCCATCAGCCGTCTGTTCGGAGAGCTTGGTTGGCATGGCTTCAACTCGGGGGTTATTTCCAGGTGAAGACGCGGCACTGGCGCTCTCTTCTTCTAACTTGCAAGGGGAATAGCAAGAGGCGACCTGTTGGAACCTCAGGCGAAGGCAATGCAGCTGGGGAAGGTACCAAGGAGAAGACTGACGACGAAAAGGTGGGTCGTGCCATCTTCTAGTTTATCTCATCAGTCCAGCTCCTCCCTCCCTTCTCCTCTCCCCCGGCTTTGCTGAGGTTTCGTGGATTCCAGAAACTTCCTGATATCCAGTTCCGCGGCTTCGAAACTCGCGCAATCCATGCTGGTGGGAACAATGACTTCAAGTGAGGGCTCGACTGATGAATCCTACGCAGGTGCTGCTCCAGATCCAACAACGGGTGCAAGAGGGACTCCAATCTATCAGACGACAGGTAAAGAGAGTTTATTACACTGCAACGGCAGTGAACACCGCTTTGTACAGCCTACGTCTTCGATGACGTTGATCACGCTGCATCGCTTTTCAACTTACAGGTTGAGAGACATCTCGTCACTCACTCAATGCTGATGGTCTTTCCGCAAAGACTTTTGGCAACATCTACTCAAGATTGTCGAACCCAACAACATCGGTTCTTGAAGAGCGCATCGCAAACCTCGAGGTGCTGAGAGTTCCGCTCAGAAGCAGTTTAAGATTTGACTTGCTCTTTGGGTAGGGTGGAAGGGGAACTACCTGCACTGCCTCGGGTCACGCTGCTCAGCTCATCGCTCTGTTTCCTCTGATGCAGGTGGACTTTGGTTCCTAGCTCCTGCATCCTCACCCATACCTGTTCAGCCTGGTGACAAGCTGGTGGCGTCGAATAAGTTGTATGGTGGAAGTATCACTCAGGTGTCTACTCAAACTAGGACTTTCCTGAATTCTCACTCTTTGGTGCAGCTCGGCAAGACCATCAAGAAATTCGCCTGGAGCTGCGACTTCGTGGATGTGGACGGTGCCTCATTGACGTCACAGTAGCAACACTCTGTCACTTACATTGGAGCAGATTTTGACAAGGTTCGCCAAGCTGTAAAGGTTTGGCCTGCTCGCCTTTCTAAGCTATGACACCACTGATTCGACTTGCACTTAGGATCCGAAAGTCAAATGCATCTGGGCTGAAAGCTTGGCAAACCCTGGTATCAAGATAGTTGGAGTTTGAATCAAGTATACTCAGCGTTTGTGCAGGCGGTGTGGTCTCAGACATCAGAGCTCTCGCAGACATTGCAAGAGAAGCAGGAGTATGTCAACATCACTCATGTTCGTTACCGTGATAATGCCATGTCAGATTCCTCTCATTATCGACAACACCATGGCGACGCCCTACCTCTGCCGCCCCATGTCAGTGATGCCATGAGATGATACTCGTTGTCAGTCTGAATCTTGCTTTGCTACCCCGACAGCGAACATGGAGCAGATATTGTGGTACGTTCGCTGCTGTTCTGCAGGCGCTCGGGATCACACAGTCCAGGTGCATTCAACTACCAAATTTATTTCTGGCCACGGAAACGCGATGGTCAGCACCTTGATACTCGCTGGGGAGCTCTGAACTGTGGTGGATGATACAGGGAGGGGCGGTTGTGGACTCTGGCAAGTTTGACTGGAGCAAATCACCCGACAAGTTTCCTTCCTTGTCCCATCCTGAGGCAATTGAAGTCTAAGTCAAGTCCTGTCACTAATGGTGCTGGCAGCCCGCCTACCATGGCCTGACCTTCGCTGAGACCTTCGGCGATCTTGCCTACACTCTCTACGGACATGCTGTACACGACATGTCATTCATCTCGACGGAGTCATTCATTCATTTCAGGTTGGTCTGAGGGACCTTGGCCCTTGCATGGCCCCGATCAACGCCTATCTCACCCTTCTTGGAATCGAAACTCTACCGTTGAGGATGGAGCGACACTGCCAGAACGGGCTAGGTGTTGCTGAGTTCCTCACCAAGCATCCGAAGGTCGTACAATGCTAGCTTCGTGTCGGACGCTCTAAGAAGTTCTGTGCAGGTGTCGTGGGTGTCATACGCGACTCTCCCTGATAACAAGTATCTTCCCCTCGCAAAGCGTTACCTACAGGTGAGACACTTGGATGGGGCATGTTGCTTCTTGACGAGGTTGGAAGGGGAAAGGAGGATCCGTCTTCACCTTTGGTCTCAAGGGAGGGTTCGATGCCGGAGTAAAGGTATCGCCTCTCGCGTTGTGAGGGAAACTTGATAGTCTTCCCCTCAGGTGGTAGAGAACTGTCATCTCCTCAGCCATCTTGCAAACTTGGTAACATGACTCGACTTGCTCATCGCGCCTCAACCACGTACAGGGCGACACTCGATCTCTGATTCTCCATCCCGCATCCACCACTCACAGGCAGCTAACTGCCGAGCAGAGGACTGTAAGTGCTCTGAGCCACATGTTGCCTCTGACCTCCTTCTCTCAGGCCGCTGGTGCCGGTGACGACGTTATCAGACTTTCGATTGGACTTGAAACCATCGACGACATCATCGCTGACCTTGATAGAGCTCTTAATACCATCTAATACAGGACTTCTTGCGTTCTACTATCATATCCTCCTTCTGTCGATAGTGTCTAGTTTCTCTTCTACGCTCTTCTCCTCCTCCTGCCCTCCTCCTCATCTTTCTCCTTGTGCCTGTGCTAGCTACAAGCTAGGGAGGACATGAATTCGATCTGACAAAGAAAAAGGTCAAAAAATGAAACCTTCCACCCCCTCTTCTCACCACCCCCTCTTCTTGCCACCCCCTCGTTGTAGACCCGACCCCCCTCGGACTGTGGCATCCCTGATACACCCGACCACGTGATATTATGGCAGTAGTGACTGAGGACCCGTTCTTGAACCAGTTCATGACCCTACCCCCCTTCATACGACTCGGATGACAACCCGGGAGAGATATGCGGGAGAAGAGGAATGGAAGCGCCAGGAGGAAGGGGAGGAGACGCGGAAGGGAACAGAGGGGGAGGGGAGAGAAGTGATTCCTACGAGAGCAGAGGAAGAGAACTGAAGCAGAGGAGGAGAGGAAGAGGATAGGATGGAAGAGGAGAGATCAAGGGGAGCAGCGCAGTAGACTTGATTTTCAGTCAAAAACCCAAGTGGCAACTAACTTTGACGAGATTTGACAAACCGTTTCCTGCATGCTTAGCTTGTGAAGAGAAATCTCACAGTCGTTCAGGAAGTCTCAACCATGCTCAGCTGCTGCGACTGTAGGAAGGACCATCACCGAGACGACCTTTCGAACGAGCGCCTGGGGATTGTGGGGAATGTCATGTCAAACAAGCGATCAAAATGCGGATGCGGTGAACTCCTCTTGTTCTCCCCCCTTGTCCTCATCATCATCCAGGAATCATCTTCGCTGCTGACACTCGAGGGGCGCTGGTGGTGGACGGGCTCGTGCCGGGCGGATCCGCCGAAGCCTCGGGGCTACTCAGGAGGTTTGTCGAGCGACAATGGACGGGAGCTGAACAGACTGCAGGGGGGACGTGCTGGTGGAGGTTGACGGGGTAGAAGTTTACTGCAAGCCTGTTGGACAGGTGAGCCTTTGAGTGTCATCTAGGATGGTCTAGACTTTACTGCTGCCGTCCTTGTCCCCTCCTGCCTCCTCTCCGTTCCTCGCTCACCCTGGTGTACAGGTTGGTCCACTGCTGCTGGGCCCTCCAGGCTCGCGAGTTAGTCTGTGTCTGACGAGGAATGTGGACGGCGAGCAGAAGCGGATCAAGATAGACCTCGACCGCCGTCCTACACAGATTAAGACAGCGCTCGCACTTTACGAAGGAAGAACCGGGAAGTGAAGAAGAATCTTCGTATTTTCTATCAGCGTCTTTCAGGATACATACATGGGATTTTTCAAGCTGGGCTGCACGAATTGCAGTAATGACTTTATAACAAAAGCATTTCTTTCATTCAATCAAATAACTTCTTGTCATACCAACATGACACATTGCGCGTGGACAATCTCTATCCCAGACCGTCCATGTCCTCCCTCACACGCTGTTTTCAGACATTGAGCTGTTCCTCATTTCCTTGATTTCAAGAATGATTTTTTCGATGGCATCGAATCTTGTCGCTTCAATGGCTCCTCTTGCCGCTCTCGCAGCAAATCGTCGATCCTAGCCTGCAGCCTCTGGATCTCCTCAACAAATATCTGCTTCTGCCGATCGCAGGATTCTCGAAACCGTTTATCCTCCTCCTTCATCATCTCGATCTCAGCCTTGTAAGTCTTGACCTCCTGTTTACACGTTTGCAGCTCTTTCAAGCTCCTCGCAAACTCTGCTGCCTCCTCCTCGTTCTTAGCTCGGCTCAAAGACTTGAGGTGCAGGACTTGTTCCTTCAGCTGCGAGTTCTCAGTCTCGACATTCTTGACCATGCTAGCAAGGTACGCGCACTGCTCGCGAAGGAGAACGCTGTCCTCTTGATCAGCATTGAGCTGAACATGAAGGTCGGATATGCAGGTGGATGCTTCTCCTATGGAGATACGGATGAGCTCGCAAACGTTCACAACCTCGAGGATCTGCAACTTGGTGACCTCCTTGTTCTTGCGCATCTTCAGCTCCACTTCCCCGTCCTTCATGGCTGCTTTTGTCAGCTGATACTCGAGCGCTCGCGACAATGCAAGCACGTTCTCCTCAACAGAGGAAATGCTTGCATCCAAGTCCTGAATGTGTAGAACTTGTTCCTCCTTCTCCTCCTCTTGCCCCTTCTCCTCCCCCTCCCCTTCCTGTGTTGCCATTTCCTGATCGTCTTGATGAACTTTCACTTCCTTGTCGTCATTGTCTTCATCTCTGATCTCCTCATCATTTTCGTCCTTGATCTCGTGTTGTTCAAGTTTTGCTTTGTGAATCTCCTTGGTCTCCTTCCCCTCTTGTTCAACATCTCGTTTCTCCCCTCGCTTGCCCGTAAGCTGGTCCTGCTTGAGCATCTCTGCTTCCTGTTTCCGACCATGATGTTTTCTCAATGAAGTTTCGCTCTCCTCCTCCTCCTCTCTTGGACTGAGACCCGAGTTCGTCCATCGGAGACTTGAAATCTTGAGATCCTGATCGCCGGTGACCGGCGAAAGGACACTGGACGAGCTCGGAGTCTCCACGTCAGTCCTTCCTGGGGGAGAAAGGATGCTCTTGTCGACGTTGTCGAGATCGATCTTAGCATTGCAGTGGGAGCAGATGAAGTGGTCGCTGCCACAGGTGGGGCAGTGCGTCACTTCACTGATCTTCTTCCGCAGCGTCGTGTTGGTCGAGCAGAGGTCGTTGTACGAGGTGAGGACCTCCTGCAATGATGTCTTCACCTTCACCCCAGCGAACCTCGGTGGGGGCTTGTTCGGGCTGTGTGATGTGTCTTGCGCCTCGAAGAAGGAAATCAAGTTGAGGATCTTCCCTTGCAAGCTCCTCTTGCTCTTGCTGGGCTGTGTGCTAGAGTCATCAGAGAGCATGGGCTGTGATTGGGTCAGTTGTTGTGGGTGTGTCGGTGCTTGGTTTGCAGGCTTGGGAGTCAACAATAGTCTTCCATATCCATCCTTGTCTTCAGCATCTTCATCGTGTGCGTGAGATCGAGGAGATGCTGCTCTGCCTGCTTTTAGGTGACCCAGTTCTCTCCCTTCGTGGTTGGTATCGACCTGTTTCTCCATCTGATTTTGCTCATCGTCCTCTCCCTGGCTCAGTTCTCGGACTCCTGGTGAAGATTCAAGTTTTTCGTGATCAAGACTATCATCGCCTCTGTTCCTCGAACGTCCCTGAATTGCCTCAATCCCCATTGCCTCCGAGTTTTGTGCACGACTCTCCTGGTCGGCGGCGTTGACCCCCTCTGGGTCAATCTGTCGTTTCTGCTCCTGTTCATCTTCCTCTACTTTTTGGTTCTCGCCTCCACCTTCCTTGAGTTCCTGACCCTCCAATTGCTGTTCGACTGTGTGTTGCGTGTCGTCGACCTCTAAGTGGTTTTCCTCTTTGGTTTCCTCCTCCTCCTCCTCCTCTTCCTCCTCTTCCTCCTCCTCGTCGTCTCCCTCCTCCTGGTCGTCTCCCTCGTCGTCGTCGTCGCCCTCCTCCTCGTCTTCCTCGTCCAGCTTCTGCTCTTGCTCCCTCTCCCCTCCCTCTCCCTCCCCCTCTTCCTCCTTTTGTATGCCTTTCTCTTGCCTTAAATCGTTTCCTTTTCTTTCTAATCCTTCTTGGCATGGATCAACTTGACTGAAGTTGTCTTTTGCAAATTCCGAATCATCTTTCATTTCAATCCATGTCATCTCCTTGTCCTCCAGATCCTCTTGATCTTCTGACTCCGCACTGTCTGCTGTTCTTTCTGTGGACTGCATTCTGTCGCTGTACTTCTCTGATTCATCACTTTCCATCGGAGACTGCTTCACAGGCCCTTCTTGCTCTTGTGCCTCCTGTTCTACTTCCACTTCTCCTTCCCCTTCATCGTCCTCGTCTTCTCCGTTCTGTTCTAGCTGCTCCTGCTCCTGCTCCTGCTCCTGCTCCTGCTCCTGCTCCTGCTCTTGCTGCTCCTGCTTGTGAACATCATCTCCTACTTCCATCACCATTTCCGGATTGTTTCCTTTTGGTTCTCCGAAGGATGTCTCACGATTCTGCCCCACGACTGTGCGCGTGGGAGCATGCTCCTCGTTGTCATTGACCGGCTCATAGCTTTTGCATACCTGACTTGGTTCACTTTGGTCCTCATCTCCATCCTTTCCCATTTCACAAATATCCTCTTCGTCCTCAAAATCCTGCTGCTGGTTTGTGACCTCAACCCCCTCCTCGTTTTCCTTGTGACCCTCCTCCAGCTCCTCATCATCTTCCAGCTGTTCACTGTCATGAGATATTTCTTTTGATTCAGAAAGACACGATGCTTCATTCACACTTTCTTCTCCTTTGTTGTCTGATTTGTCGCGCTCAGTACTTTTTGCATTTTTAAGATCGTTTTGCAGCCCCTTGTTCTCGTTCCTCTCAAGTGCCTTCGCTCCAGGTTCGTGTTCAACTCTTTCGACGGTATCCCTGAACTCATATCTTTCTCCTCCTGTCGCGCTGGTCGGTTCATGTTCCTCTTCGATCATGTTTCCATCGCCAGTCTCTTCAGCGTTCATCTCGCGCCTCCCTTCAGGTTTCAGCTCGGCCTTCCATTCAGCCTTCTTGCCACGTCCGTGTCGGTGTTGATGTTTCTTGCCATATGGTTTCAGCGCAACTTCTTCGTGATCCCCTCCATCATTTTCCTCTTCCTCACAGTGTTCTTGTCCATCGTCGTTCTCGTTATCATCGATGTGAACCAGTATTCCATCAACAGTTGAGCTATCATGCTCGTCCCCGCCCTCCATCGCATGTTCTTCTCCGGCATCAGGACCAGCGCTTTTTCTTCTTGATCTGCCATTCTCTCCCCTCTCCTTCTCTCGCTGCTTCTCCTTTTCGCCTCCTCGTTTCTTGGCCATTGCCGCCTTGTCAATTGGATCACCACTTGGGGATCGGAGACATAAGGGGGTGGGGGTGGTGAATGTTTATTTTAAGCTGGCCCAGTGTTACAAATAGGGTGGTATGATTATTTTTTTAGGGTGGGGTAGTTCGACCTCCCCCCCAATCACCGGTCATTGAGATGGTGGGGTAAGGAGCTACAGTGCAACAAACATTATAGAGGTGGGTAGTTCAAAATTGTGTAGTATGGTACAGGGTAGGGTAAGGGGGAGTAGTGGGGGGGGGGGGTGTTCTCGGAAGGGAGTCGCAATATCTCACAAGGTAGGGTAGTTACATGACCCGACCGTCGAGTACTAGGGGTCCATAAGTAGTAATCTCCATAGGTAAGGTAGGGTGGGGTGTTCTCACAAGTCACTGATTGTTCGGACGATCGGAAGTTTCGGGGGGTAGTTGACCAGAAGTAACGGAGGTCAGGGTGGGTGGGGTCATTGTCATCAGACTCGAATACAACATTTTTTTTGTCAATAACTCGTACACCATATAACTTTTTCATTATGTTTAAAATTAATCTAAAACCTTGTAAAAGTTTAACTGTACCAAGAAAAGCTTACTCAATATCAACGCTCCTACCAGAGTAATTGGGTACAAGTGTACTTATCTACTGCAGTAGTATTTCCGCTGAGGTACTACTGATCCTGACCGGGCCCGGGCACCGGGAGTCACCGGGCCTGATCACTGAGAGTGCTGAACTTCCGAAACTTTGAGACCCTTGTTGTTGCCACGTCGAAGTTTTGATAAAAGTTCTCAAACTTGCCTTTTGTTTGGAAGTTCCCAGGAATCCGCAATTACGTCATGGCGGCGTGGTAAGGGAGGAGCTGGACAGTAGGAGGACGTGGAGAAGTGGAGAGCTGGGAGAAGGAGAAGGAATCGGTAGAGGAGAGGAGAAATGTATATATGCTCTGGGGAAGCACGTGGTGAACGAAAGGATATGAACGTTTCGAGTCAGCGGAGCTGGTGGGAGCAATTTGTTTTGTCGAGGCCAAGTTAGGAAAGCTAGATGGTTCGATGTGGCAAAAGACAGGATCAAGAGACAGTAGGAGAATACAAACTTAGGATGGTTCAATCTCATGTTGTGTGAGTGTGGAGATGGGGTGAGGGATGATGGGAGGGGTATAATTTTATAGTGATGGAAGACTGAATGCATTTTGTAATCCATTTTGTTTTCAACGAAGCAGTGTGATATAGAAACGGGGCGTTCTCTTTGTGGTTTCAATCTCCTTCTCTCTTGAACCACCAGAGCCTTGGTTTGTAATCGAGCAAGATGAAGAAGTCCCTTGACTCCCCAGCTGGAGAGTATGTACAATACGCATTCTGGTTCCCCCTGTTCACAGTATCCTCCGTTGCAATGGTCATCCTCAACAAGTATTGCGCGGCATCTTTCCCACAACCATACAGTCTCCTAGCGTTTCAGAACACAATGACTATCGTTCTCAACCTGATTGGCCTTCAACTCGGAGTGTTCAACATGCGGAGCTTCACAGCACAACAGTTCAAGATGTTCGCGATCCCTTCGGTGCTGTTTGTCGGAATGCTTGTGACGAGCCTCCGTGGGCTACCTCTTGTGTCTGTAGCGACGACTGTTGTTTTCCGAGCTCTCAGCACGTGTGTGGTTGCCTTCGGCGATTTCCTCTTCTTTTCGAAGAAGTTCAATGCAGGTTCGCAACAATGACTGAGTGGTGTACATTACGGACATGATTATAATCTTGTGATGAAGATACTGAAAACGATGAATTGATCATGTAAACTAAGTGCGACGATGAAAATGATGAAGCCGTTTGATGATGAACTCCATGCTGACGTTTCTCTCACAGCGGAGGTCCTCTGCTTGTCCCTGGTGGTGGTTGGCGGTGGCTTATACAGTCTCGGAGATCTGTCGTTTCACCCGACAGGGTATGGGTGGATGTTTGCGAACATGACGATGTTTGTGTCATCGCAGCTGTATGAGAAGTATGCTGTTGTGTGCATGGATCAGGTTGGTCATCGTGGTTCAACGGTAATTGGTACTAATGTTTCCCCCCTCAAAGACTGCAGTCGGCATTTCTTGCGTCCAGAACATTCTCTCTCTGCCTATCTTGATCGTCTTTGGATTTTTTGTGTTGGAGGTGATAAATATCCACTTCATCTGCTGGTTGAGATGATGATGTTTGTGAACAGGAGAGGCCTTTGCAACTTCTCGAAGTTTGTTTTTGGAACCCCATGCTTTGAGAGTTTGATTTTTGTATGAGCAGAAGACCGATACGCTGACGAAGACAGGAATTTTCCTTAGCGGCATCGCGGGGTAATCAGAATGCTATTCCCGTGCTGCTGCATGTCTTGATGAACTTGCAGCTGCGCACTGAGTGTCTGTTACATGAGTTTGGCCAAGTTCGCTTCTGCGACTGCCATCTCACTCACAGGAAATCTGAACAAAGTGAGTCTTTTTGTTGCGGCCTCGATGGAAGAGGTTGAAATCGTAATTCCCGTGTTCATCTCAGGTACTCTCTATCTTCGTCGGGGCTGCTGTCTTTCACAATCCCCTATCCCTCCTTCAGGCAAGTCTCCTTCTTCCCTTCTAGATTGGTGTCACAACCATCTCCTTCGCTCGTCCCCCCCCACACACAGCCCCTCTTCTCTCTCGCCTCTCTCTCTTTTTTTTCGCTCGTATCCCAGGCTCACTGATCTCTAGACTCTCGGCCTGTCGTTGAGCGTGATAGCTACCATGGCGTTCAGTCAAGGAGGAGCCCTGCCCACTGGTGAAGTGAATCTTTTTTTCAATCCACCGTCCTTCTCTTCATCCCTCTCCCTTCCTCTTTCTCTTCTCCCTCTCACTGTCTCCTTCATCATTGCATTGTCCTTCCTGCTGCTGTGTCCGTCCCCTCCTCACTTGTCCCTTCTCAGTGCTGCGAGGAGGAAGGCTCTACCTGTTCATGCTCCTCATGATCGTCTTTGCGGTCAACACGTGGGACATTGGTGGCAAGATCGCCTACCTCGACGTCAAGAAGGAGATCAGGAAGGAGCTTGACTTCCTCCTCCGCAAGTCCGGTGGCATTGGCAAGGGCACGCTGCGACTGTTTGCGGGGCGCAACAGGACGGCAACAGCTGGGCTTGACGAGGACCTCCAGCTTTCGATCTCGATTCGGGGAATGAAGACGAGATCGTTTTCCAGCGAGAAGCAGCAGGTGTCTCCCCCCCCCACCTTCTTCTTCTCCTCCTCCTCTTCCCCATTCGCCACCGCTCTCCCCCCCACAAATTCCGAATGCCCCTCCTCCTGTCTTGGCATCTGCTCTTATCCCCCTCGTCCCCTCTCTTCAGTTCTTGTTCCCCTCTGCTCGCCTCTTCCATGCCCTCTGAAGGCCCCGCAGGAGCTTGCAAGGACGATCTCCCGATTCTTCCAGGCCAAAGACGGAGACGTGGAGCTGAACATCCTCAGCGAGTGATGGCGATCCTACGGCCCCTCTTCCCACCCGCTGACTTGCTCAGCAGGAGCTCATGGAGCCAGGACGACAAGTCGCACCCCCTCTCAGGTCCGATAACTTGAGAGCATGCTGGGCGTCTGACAGGCTTCCTGCCAATAGGAGAGATCAAGCATGAGCTTGAGACGAGGCTGCGGCAAGCGGATGCTGTACGTTGACCGGCGGTTCAAAGGAGGGAGGGTGACCGGGGATTTGGCAGGCTCAGTCCAGCAAGAACGCTACCAAAGTTCCGCCGAGCGAGTCGAAGTAATTACCGTACCCGGTGATAGCCGAGGAGTTGACTATGTTCATTTCGGACTCGGATGCAATGAAGGAATTCATATCGACCGTACGGTCGGACTCTGATTAACTTGATCGAGGATGCTGCCCGGCGCTGAGGGTCCGGGCCCGGCGTGCCAGTCACCGTCAGCTGGCCGCTGGCGCCGGGCTCCGAGTCCGAGGCTGGAACTGCGTGACCACCCGGCACAGTGACTTGTTACCGACGAGCGGCGCCGTGCCTGAGCACTAGGGCCGTGGCACCCTACCCCCTGTCAGACCCCCTGTCCTAGGCCCAACCTACCCCCTTCACTGAAGGATGATTCCACTGGGAGATGTGATGTATCTCGATTTGAAATGGCGTGGGCGAAAAAGGGGGGAGGGGAGGAACAGAGGGAGGTGGGAGGAACAGAGGGAGGTGGCTGGATGTGAGGAGAAGTAAGGGGATGTGAAGGTAGGAGAGGAGCAGGAAGTTGGCGGAAAGAGCGAAGAAAATGGAGAGGGAGAGAGGAAAATATGTTCCATCAAATGTGGAAAAGATTCACTTTCGTCCATGTGGCGAAGGGAAGGAGGGAGGGGGAAAGAAGAGAGGAAGCAAGCAAGGATCAGAGTAGGGAGCAAACAATGGAGGAGGGAGCAAGAACTCGATAAGTTTGAACTCGAGTGTCAGAATGCAGAAGTTTTTTTGTCCGCTGATCATTGGAGAATACCAACTCTAATGTTATTCTTATTCGTTTCCTCAGGATTACTGAGGAGCACAACAAAAGGTTCTCAACAGATTAAAGGCCATCGTCGCAACTTCTTGTTTTCCTTTGCTCTTTTAGCTAATCGACATGGCGTTCACTACCAAGGATGAGGCATATGCAGACCTGTCGGCTCGTCTCTCTCGGTTGCAGCAGTCAGTCTCAAAGCTCTCAGAGAATTTCAATCAGGTCCAGAAGATCCATGACGGCTCGCAGAATCTCGCAGAGTCACTTGCCAAGACCATGCAGGCAGCTTGTCGTCATGCTCCTGAGGAGGGGAGCACTTGAGGGTGAGACTGATGGAGGATTAGGGGAGACAAGATCATGAGCGTGAGATGGGTGGGAACAGCACGAGGAGGTGATGAGCTATGTTCGCATGAGGGTAGGGATAGCTGTTTCTATTTTGAGAGAATGACGAAGATAAAACCAAAAAACCACAAGAGTTTCTTGCGTCGCAGCTAGAAGCCTGATCAAAGTATCCGCGACACAACAACAATCCAACAGATCGCGATATTCTCTTTACTCCTCTCAGATGTCTTGTCAGGTTTGCTCGTTCGAATTGTTGTTTACGAGCAGCAAACTTGTGTTAATATGTTATCCCTCTCCCCCGCCTGCCAGCAATCAATCTCGCTATCCCTTAGGTCAGGCCTTGCTGTCCCCGTGTTCGTTCTTCTCCTCTTTCCCGTGATGCTTCTCGTCCTTGTCCTCCTTCTTCTTCCTGGACTTGTGAGGCTGCAGGAACAGAGTCATGTGCGGGTAGTGGGTGCAGCGTGTTTACCACTCTGGGAAGGGGCAGGTGGATCTCAATGTCTCGCTCTGCTCCTCTCCTCCTCGGGTTCCTGTGCAACGTTCAGGTGGGCGGATCATGGCTGCGGAGGCGATGAGCAGACCTGTTCAGCATGGCAGCGAGCCGAGCAGCCTCTAGCGCATCCCTCTCCTCCTGAGTCAGCTGGGGCTCTTGCTTCACGTCCTCCTCTTTCCTCTCCTTGTCTTTGTCTTCCTTCCGCCTGCGCTCCTCCGACATCTCCTCGCGTTTCGTTTCTTCCTCATCCTGGTTGCTGCCAGGTGAGAAAACATCGCCGAAAATCAATTCAGTGCACCTTCCCGTCCTTGCTGTCCTTTGATTCCCTGTCACAATATCTCAGCGTGCGAACAAAGTCATAAGCAGATCTCTTACTTTTCCGCGTCGTCCCGAGATTTCACCCGCTTCCTCCTGCCATTCGTCGCTTCTTCATCGATCCTGTAGCTCACACCACATCACTCATCCTTTCTCTGACGTCAAGAAGATGCACCTCTTCCCCTTCCTCCGCTTGTCCCCTTCATCGCCCTCATCGTCTTCATCCCCATCTTCTGAAGCATCTCTTTGATTGCTTTCAGGCTGTGGCACCCGAGCTCTTTCAATCTGCATGCCGTCTCGTATCCTCTTCTCTCACCTGCTCTTTCTGACTAGGACGGCCTCGTTTCCTCGTTGACTTGTGGAGAGAAGAACGATCGTTCTCTTCTTGCCCAGACAGGACCGATTCGCTGTCTCCGCCCTTCCCATCATCGCCGCCTACTTTCTTCGTGCTTCCCTTTCCTTCTTGTTTCTCCTCAGCATACCCGAGAGCCACGTCCTCATCATCCCCGACAATCACAAAACTGCATCCGATTAGACCAACTGCCACGTGCTAGGTCAGGAAGATGTACAGACCTGCTTCGCCGGCAATTCGTCGTCTTGTTGGTCTCGTCTAAGGTTATCGTGTACCAACCATGCACAAATCCTGTTGTCTCCCCAGTTTTGACTTCGTCACGTGGAAGCAAACTGTCCAGAACATGGTGTCAGGACATGCCGGCGCATGCAAATTATCGAACAAAATGCCTCAAGAAACAAGACAAGACGACGTCACATGAAATGGAATACCTTCCGCCGTACGTTCTCACTATCCTCACTTTTGTTCCCAAGGGCGGATTGCTGCCATTCTGTGCATGGTGCGAGTTGGAGCTGCTACCATTACATCCCCCCTGGTTGTTTGAGTTGTTTGCTTGTAACAATCTGAAACCATCGACCATCTGCTCAAAACTTCAGCAACTGTCGAACAGCAACCAGACTTCATAGATCGAACATAACAGGGAATCAAAGTAAGCAAATTTAGCCACTCACCCCGTGTTGCACGAAGTGTGGATCGTTCAGAAACCTCTTGTTTCCTTGGGTGAAAGGATCAACGTACATCTGACTTGATGTCGGAGGCCCGCTCTGATCCGCACATCTGCTCACGCAGGATCAACCACTCGCCCCCCGCCGTTATCTATTCATACCTTGCGAACTGCATCGGGTTGTAGCAAACTTTGTGGCCGTCCTCCATGAACACAGCATACCAGCCTTTGCCTCTGCGAGCAAGGAGAGCAGCACAGATCATGATCGAGTCGACCCCTCATCGTCAACCAGCTGATCCTCACCTGTACTCCACCAGACGGCCCACGTGGTTCAGGTACATGTCTCCGTCTTCGGTGATCACAACTCGCGTCCCTGATTAGCTTCAGCGACGGAGGGAAGAGCGAACAGCCTAGGTCACCTATAGGCCAGCATGCCTTGTCCTTGCTGCTATCCTGCTTGTCGTAGGGAGTTCGGATGGTGTTTGTCATGCGGTCCCTGCGGCAAGTCAGAGGAATCTTCCTCCCCCCTCAGGCCTCCGGCATTGCCTGTTCCATAGCTTCAACTTGAGCCTGTAGAAGAGATCCGAGCCTTCGGACTCGTCGAAACTCCTGCAGGGAGGCAGAAAAGGTCAGTGTAGGGCACAGAGACGTACTGGAAGCATGCCTCCGCTGCTGCGGCAATCGAATGTCCTCGTCCTCGCTGTCAGAATACCGCTTGACTTCGGCTGGAAAAGTCCTCAGTCCATTCATCCAAACACCAGAGCAGAGCACCATGGACTTCACTAGTATGCCCCATTGCTATGTTGGTCCTTCAACTCCCGACTTAGCTTGTCGTCAGGTCATGCGCATGCACGTCTGAAAACAAACTGTTACACAAGGATGAAGCGGAAACAAATGCGCTGGCGGGCAGCAGCAACTCCTCCGCGTCCTCTCCTTGTCCTCTTTCCTCCCCCACCCCATCCTGGGATATGCTTGCTAGAGAGCAGCGCGAACAACCGGCGAGCATCTTCCGGCACGCGACAATGAACGTGGCTGTCATCATCAAGTTTACCCCTCGCTCTCAAACATGCTGGCAGCACCGCCCATTCGAGCATGTCGATAGCATCCCTATCTTCCTTCCTTTCCCTCCTCTCCCTCTCCCTCTCCCTCTCCCTCTCCTCTCGCTTCTCCTTCGTACACACGCCCTCCCCCCTCTTCGGTTACTGCCCCAGCATTTTATTGTCGTCGATTGAGTAAAATATTCTGAAGAGACCACCCCCACTGATAATTTGAGCTCTGTACCCCTTCACTTGATGATGGGAAGCAGGGTACTCATGTTACCCCCCTTTTTCTGATTAAAAGGAGGGGTGTGTTAAACAGTGCTATTCAGTACCCATTATTTCACGGAGGAACACAGGGGTGTACTTGGTACCCCTACCAAACTAGTTCCAAAGAGGGGACATAAGGCAGAGAAGAGAAGAGGTCAGGGCCTCGTCCTCGACGGCAGGGGTGGGACTTGTGTAAGGGGGGGTGGGGGTTGGAATTCAGAAGGTTCAATATAGGGTAGTACTTTTTCAAAGGGGTACTGATCTTCGGTACCGGGTACTTTCAATGAAATTACCTTTGAAAAAAAAGGGTAACTACAATTTCGGTACGGGTGCAATAATGTAGCGTAGGGTTCATACCTAAAGGGTAGGGTAGTACTGGTCTGCAACGGGGTGTGCGGATTTTTTACTGCGGGGGAATTTTTAGGGGTGGGTGAAGTGGTTTTGAGGGGTGGGGGTAATTGTTTTGTAGGTTGCATTTTTGATCACCCCTTGCTTTTCGACACTTTTGAAGTCACTGTACCGGTCATGAGCATCTTAGGGGGGGTGGACGATGGAAGCGGAGGGGTAGGTAGTCCCACTTCAGGGGTGAGGGAAGTGATGGCCGCTTGTACCTTGTGATTTAGGAAGGTAGGGTACGGAATTACCATGGGTGGGGGCACTACAAGACCGGGTCCTGGCACATCAAGTACGCTGGATTACATAGGGGTTAGGGGTAGAGATCATGAGGATGCAATTCATGGGTAGGGTGGTTTTTGTGGGCGCGGCTATGGTTGGGAGTGGCGGAGAGGACGGAGGATGAGCGGGATGATGCAGAGGGGAGGACGATCTCAGGAGGTCAAGATATCACATGTCACACCAGATCATCTTGTCGTTAGGAGAGGGCTCCAGCGAAGCTTTACAAGTAGCCCAGATTGATGGTTTGAAAGCGTAATGAAGGTTGTTAGCATAGCTTACATGTTGGTTTGGTCAAGCAACGCTAGGTTTCTTTGGATTTGAAGTTGTCGAATAAGTCTCATGTGTCTAGTCATTAGCTCGATCTTGATTTTGATGTCATTATGGGTCAGAGTTGAGACAGAATGAGCCCTTCCGCACGCTCTTGTAAACCGTGTTGATGACTGTGAATGCGACGGGTTAGGAATGAGTAAATGATCTTGATATCACGTTTCGTTGCGCCCTCTTGAAGTTCCCTCGTGATATGTATGGAGGAGATGCACTACTGTTGTCTCGAAAAAAGAGCTGCATGTTTTAGAGCATGTGGGTATTACGTGTTTAATTGCCAGTGCTGCCCAAGCGGAACTGGCCCGAAGTCGCGTTTTCTGGAGTCATTATGAAATCTTGCAAGATTCCCAAGAGCTTTAAGCCGATTCTGAGCTTCTTGCAGGCTGCTGGAACTTTGTCCTTATCATTCCATAGAAAGAAATTCGATTTCTGGAAGGAATTTTTACTCGGGGCTATTCGGCAGATTTGCCTCCATTTTGCAGACTGTATTCTATCAAGGGCAAAGAAATCAAAAACCATAGTCATGAAGCTTCCAGGTCATCAGGGAGCGGCTTCTTTTCGGCTTCCTCTCCGTTTCTCCTCACGAACATGGATGGCCAGCGTCACATTTTTCTTCCTCTGGATTGCATGCAGCGAATCGTTTGTTGAGCGAGGATACCTCGGCGCTTCTCTGGCAGCCCACAAGAGACCACCATCTTACTGCAAGCAGGCTAACTCGCATGTAGGGCTTGCTCCAGCTGAAACAGCCCCGCTCAGACGCTCTGGTTTGCTGCTGCGGAGCAGGGGAGGAGTTCACCGCATCGGCCCTCTGGCGTGCGCTCCCACCGAAGACGTGAAAGTGGAAGTTAACACTCTGAACGAGAGGCTCTGGGCAGCAGCTGAGGCGGGTGATGGTGATCTGATCCGTTCGCTTGTCAGTGAGGGAGCAGAAGTGAACTCGCAGCCTTACGTCCCTGATGCGGAAGAACGCGAGAAAGTTTCAACTGCAGAAGGAACGCAGGACGGCTGGGACGGATCGGAGCCGATCAGATCCCGAACAGATGCTCTTGAGGTGAATGCTGAGGCAAGTGACAAAGAAGCTGTCGAGAAAGATGAAGAAGCGAAGCTGAAGGAAGAGAAGAAGAAGGACAAGAAGAAGAAGAAGAAGGATTATGAGAACAAGGTACAAGAGATTGAATGCTCTTGGTCAACTTGAGGTTACTTCTTGACTGTACATGTTCAGGGACTTTCTGCTCTGCACTTGGCTGCAAGCAAAGGGCACAGTAGCGCTGCTTGCGCTCTTGTCGATCTTGGAGGAGACGTCAACTCTGTCACGGCCGATCTCACTACGCCGCTGCATCTCGCCGTTGCGGGAGGGCACACCGGTGACTCCTCAGTCTTGCACGAGCGACCCTGACCGTTGGCTCTGCAGATACTGTGCAGGTTCTGGTCACCCTAGGAGCAGACTTGAAGGCGAAGAATGCTAATGGTGAGACTCCTCTGAAGCTGGGGAAGAACGCTGGGACCAACGTGGAGGTTCTCAGCCTCCTCAAGGCATTCATGGATGCCTTGGAGTCGGACGAAGATGAGAGTCCTCCCGAGCCCAGCAAGTGATTCTTTGGGTAAAAGTTTTGCATGTTCCGAACTGGTGCTGTTCAATCGCTCGAAGTCTTGAGGCAGCTGTTGAACTGCTTCTCGAGTACCTTTAGTATCCCCCGATTCCTGTGCTCCACGATAAGGGAGAAGGAGGCGAGGAGACGTGGCTTACATGTGAGTTCCGTCGCAAACAAAGTCAGATTTCAACACCCCTTCGCTGGTCGTTACGTCGTTGCTAATGTCGATGTACGTTCCCTTTCTGCGATGGAGCTTACACAAGACCGCAACTCAACATGAACAGCAGAATACGGGCCATAGACTTCCTTCAGCTTCTTGTTGAAGAGATTGGTTGCCTGTACCTCCATCAGAGCATGAAGATGAAGTAGGAGGGAGGGAGGGAGGGAGGGAGGGAGGGATGGAAAGAACCCAATGCGAACAAGTTCAACCTGACGTGAGTGGGAGGAGGGAGGCGGAACCTAGGAAGCGCATTGAGGCCGACTCTCACCTCAATACGATCTTTGTGCTGCGGATTCGACGGCGGGCACACGGAAAGCACAAACATTTTCACGGAGAACCTCTTCGAAAGGTACTTCACGGCCTGCCAATTCACACTTATTACTACACCCTCCACCCCGCGTTTTTTAATGCACCTTATCGAAAATTTGCACAGTCTCCTCCACAGCCTTCTGCATCGACTCGTACTTGCGCTTCATGACGGCTCCTGGTTCAGAGCGGCACACATGAGCATTCTTGTTGACCTGCTATCTTCTCCTCACCTGGGATACCCTCACGGCAGTCGATCTCCCCACAGACAAAGACGATCTCCTTGGCATCTGTGATGATGTCGGAGGAGTTTTCCTGGACAAAGAACAAGCTACTCTGAAACATTCTCTACCTGCCGGCAAGCTCTTCATGCATTCGTGCAGGTTTGCAACGGTGAGGAATTGGTGTCCTTCTCGAAGGTGCCTGGGAACAAGTCAGAGGATCAACCCGAACCAGACCTGACCGTCTCAACTCTCACCAAGCCTTCAGCCCCGTGACGAGCTTTGGGAAGATGTAGTGAGAGGTTTTCTTCAATTTGATTCTTCCCCATGCGCCTGAAAGGACGTGACTGTCTCCGACCAGAAAGAGCGGCTTGCAGCCTGTCGTCTCGGGAGGAGGACAGTTTTCCATCGATAACATTAATTTGGAAATGAAGAAGAAATAAGCCCAATGGGTTGTCAGCCCCTGCAGAGCTCTCTTCACAACCTGGAATATCAGCACCAAAGTCAGAGGAGCAAAACACTCAAGCCCCGTACGTCAGGGAAGTTGTTGATCTGTGAGAGGAGAAGAACGAGCTTCTCTTGCCAAAAGGGTTGACCAGCGACAAAGACAAGCTTGGCAAACAGAATGTAGACAGCAAAATGGTTGATTGTCGTGAGTTCGCTCTCCTGCACTTGTCTTCAAACAACATGTCAACGAAAGGTGTCATGGCACCTTCACTGTCGCGCAAAAGTCTTGCAGAGTGTTCAAAGCTGCTTCATATTTCTGAACGTACTCATATGCTTGAGCCAGGTTGAAGGCGAAGGTCGGATCTCCAGGAGAGACAGAAGCTGCCTCTTTGTATAATCTGATCGCTTCCTCCAAATTTCCCTTGTCTTTCTCGCAGTTCGCCATGCCGGAGCATGCAAGCGCATTGCTGGGATCCTTCTCGTAAGCCCTGGCATAAAGCTGGGAAGGGGAGAGGATCACCACCAAAGCGATGCAGCAATTCAGATTCAACCTGCTCGGCCGCGTCGTACTGGTGACGATCATACTGTATGTCTGCCTGCCCGTGCCGAGCAGCAGCCTCCATATCGCTGTCCTCTGAGGCGATCTCAAGCGCTTGCATGGCAACATCGCGATGCTCTGGGTATTCTTTGCAGGCTGTCCCGAAATCAAGGTGAAACTTGGCATTGGTCGACATCCTGAAGTCTTCGCAGCGAAGGTAAGCTTGCACCGCTTCCTTGGCATGAACTTTCGATTGAATCAGCTTGAGAATGCTCGCAGGCCGGAGATCCTTGGTCTTCCTGTCATCAGACTGCCAATCCTGGCTGAATTTCAACTCCTTGGCAACGAGCGCAAGTCTATCAGCAGCCTTCTTCTTGTAATCATCCGGGAGAAGGTTTGTCTCGTCGTCTTTGTTCCAGGTCAATGCTGACTTGTAGCAGCAGAGAGCCTCCACCAAGTCTCGATTCTGCTCGTACCCTTCCGCCATCTGCAGTGAATTGTCGGCATAAGAGGTAAATGCGCACAAGGTAAGTAGATCAAACCAGGACAAGCAGCCTGGGATCTGAATGGATACAGCAGTACTTCCTGCCATTAACATCAGATGGTACTGGGATTCTGGTTCTGGTGCTGGTGCTGGTGCTGGTGCTTCTGTTACTGTTGATGGTGCAACAGCTGCTACCTGCATATCGTGACGACGAACTCGTGATCGCCATGCTCCAAAGCCGCCACTGCCAAGTCCACAACCCGATCCACCATCGCGACGAGACGTGAGTAAAAGGGGCCCGGGCGCCGGGCCCGATTCACTGACTGAGGCTTTTAAAGCCCGGCCGGGCCGGGCCGCTTTCAACGGTGACCGACCGTGCCGTAAACTTGAAGAGGGCCCGGGGCCGGTATGCTTACTATTACGGTCCAGATTGCGAATTTGTAGCACATTCACTCTATAATAGTATTAAATATAATTTCCGAGATCAAACTTGGTACCACAATACTTTTGGTACCAATTTTTCTGAAACGTTTCCAGTAATTCGTTATCCTGACAATACATTTATTGAGATGTCAATGGTACAAAAGTATTTGACCATTTGTACTGGTAAATCGATACTCCAGTACAAACTAAAATGATGACCCCAAATATTATTTTAGTTTATTTATATTTATTACACCGACCTACCTCGTGTCCATTATACACCTCGACTCCTTGGATCGTAAAAGATAGGGACGTGGACAACTACCCCACCCCCCCGTCCAAGGGGAAACAGAGGGAGTATCGGTGAAGGTGTTCCTGCCACCCTCGTGCATGACCCTATTTTCAAGATACCTACCCGTCATTTGATCTATTTTCCGTAGTAAGATGTACGGTAGGTTTGCTGACCCTACCCAGGAAATTTACCTATGGCCCTCATTTTAAAATTACTTATATAGATTGTCAGCCAAGTATACTCGGTAAAGCAGAGGGTGGGGTCCTCCAATCATTGTGGGTACGTGTGTGAGGGAGACGAGGGCACCACCACTCTTTGTGATGAAGCTTATTCATATAGGGCTCAATTGGAGAAAAATACACACCATTGCAGCATGGGCCCTTCCCCTGTTTCAGGGTGTAGAATGTGTAGAATTCAGGCATAGGGGGATGGTCCAGGGTAGTATAATGGCGAGGGTAGTGGTTAATGTACCCAATGACAACGAGATACATTCAAACACACGGCGTTCCGATACAAAGAAGATTTTTACAATGTCGACAAGTGAGTTTTTCATTGTTTAAAACATTAATAATATCTATAAGTATTTTGACGGGGAGGTCCGCTCTCTCGGGGCTTCTCCGGGTACTTTAGCACCTTGCGCGGAGCTCCCCTCTAGAGAGCCCTTACGGCATTCCCAGTGCTAAATGCTTTTAATATTCAGTCATCATGATTTAGTCTCTCTCACTTCGGTACATTTGTTTCAAAAAGTGTACTATATTAGTACGAGATTGATCACCATAACCTCTAATAGCCGAAACTGTACTCGTTTGCAACATGACACAATTATTGTCGTTTTATATCGAAGAGCATTACCTACCTGCAGTACAAATCTCTCCAGTAAAGTTGGTAGTTTCTTTTTACTATGTTCTTTTAGCTGTCCTTCTCCTATGGCCTCGGGTCTTTACTTCGTAAGAAATGGTAGACCCAGGATACCCCTCATAGGACCGAGGCCATACCTGGTCCTAGGTAGCTACAACAATGTACGGGCGTTTCTCCTTCTAATATTAAAAGGCCTCGTATCAGCGCATGCAGCGTCCTACCCTCGTTGTCCATTCCGTTGGAATCGCGCGTTCATCCTAGCCCCCCCCCACCGCCCCCCCTTCCCCCTTCCCCCTTCCACTCCTTCCTCTCTTTCCCCGCTCTCCTGCTTCGTTTCACTTCCCTTGTTATCATTTCCCACTTTTCCGTTCACGACACAAGAACCTCAAGACGTTCATCTGATCCTTTAACGTACGCTCTTGAAAACCCTGGATTGCCTCAACACAACCGTCTCGAGCTTCGCATAAGGCAAAATGATTCCAACCGCGGAAAATTCTGGAACATACAGCTCTATCCTTCTTCAGAACGAGAAGGCCTCGCTTGGTGTGAAGAAAGACGACCATAGTAATACTCACAAGAAGAAATCTGGCTCACGATGTGGTGGTTTGCTTGGCACTCTGCTGAGGCGAAGGATTCAAAGGACAGAGCGCGATCTCATTCCAAAGGTCTTCCGAGCAGACGAGTGCCTGGACATGAACGACGATCCATGCTTCTTCGCTGCGCAAACGTTCGAGGAGATGAAGCCTGGCAATGATGAGAAATCGTTTGAGCATGTTTGTGAGAGTATTGACAACCATGCATGCTCTCAACCTGGTTCCTACTTCACCTCTCTGTTCAAGTCCGGAGAAAGCTTCAAGCAAGCACTCAGTGCATCAGCGCAACCGTGGTTGCCGGCGTTGCCTGTCGCGCAAGATTCAATCAAGTACGGAGAGAGGCAGCCATGTACGTACATGGAGATGGTTCAGAAGCAATCTGGTTATGCAGTCAAGACAGAGGATCCGCTAATTGATTTAAATTCCAAGCAAGCTTTCGCTGGTGCACACCCGTACCTGACGATGGCGCGCGAAGATGTCAGCGAAAGGACGTGCAGGGAGGAAGAGGACTGCGAATCGAGTGATTTGTACTCTACGTCGTCCTCATGCAGCCCGGCTCCCTCCAGCTTTAATAGCGCTGAAACTCGAGGGATAGAATTCCCGTCGGTAGAGGAACTTACTCAGATGTCGCAGACATCGAGATCTCTGTGGTCATGCTTCATCGAGCAGCACCACAAGTACAAGAAGATCGACTTTGTCAACACGGAGCTCGAGGCTGTCGATGTTCTCAACCAGGACGTTTCTGTGGAGATTGCTTCCAACCCCGTTGACCAGAGCAACAGGTTGGAGGATGGATGCCTGAGCACCGAGGTGCTTGCCGATGCGCTCCAGACTTCTGACCCTCTGTTTGCTTCCTCCGAGGAGTCCTCCGAGGAGAGCATGTTGTGGGTTGCACCCCACCATGAGCAAACTTTCGAATGCGATTCGGAATGGAGTGCGATAAACTTGTGAAGAAAACTGGGACATCATCTTCCCGTTGATTTTGATGAGTGCATTTCAAGTCAGTGATTGAATATGCAACTGTGAATTTTGTTTATGTACTCTATGATTTGATAAATTTCATCTTGATGGAAGCTTGTTGAGTTGTCTCACTATCTTCATGGCCAGACCGTGAGAAATCGCAATCCCCATGCTGAATCTCGTCGTGTTGGTCGAGTAAACCGCCTGTGCTGCAGGTTAAAGCATCCTGTGATGGTTGTACTGTTTGTGCTCACATGCCACAACGACTTTCCTCTCACCAATCGAAACATATTCGCCTGAAACTTTCTGTCCCCCACTCGCCTTACGCCGTCCTTGGCCTGGTATCTGGAGGAACGAGAGTAGTCAGGCGGACTGGAGGGGTTAGCTCATCCTTACACGAATCCTGACTGGTTCTCCTCTTCCACATCCGTCAGGTAGAGCCTCCATCCTTCGACTTGCCCCCCATCCGTGTGCCACTCGGTGAAGCCATTGGGGGGATACCAGTATCTTCCCTCAAGTCAGCAGGGGAGAAGGAGGAGTCGGGGCTGCATACAGCCCACGGAAGGAGTCGTCGGCGTCCGTGTACTGCAGGCCTCCATGCTTCAAAGTGGAAGACACTAGCTCCTTTAGCTTGCGCGAGCAGGGAGTCCCGCTGAGAGCAGCATGACTGAGGGAAGGAGGGGAGGGAGGTGACGAGGAAACTTACTTCTTACGGTAGGAGATTGAGCCCAAGTGGTGTCTGAAGGAGAGTGTAAGGTGAAGGCCAGCAAGGGAGAAGGGGCAAGACGTACGTAGTGGCAAAATGAGTGCCGCTAGAGCCGAGGATGTGGTGGGAGGCTTGTCCCGTGGAGATGAAACTGAACTGAATTCAGGGAGGGAGAGGAGGGAGGGAGGGGAGGGAAGGGAGGGAGGGAGGGGAGGGAAGGGAGGGAGGGGAGGGAGGGGAGGATGGATGGATGGGCAAAAACGGTCGAGGGAGGGGATGAGCTGATGGCAGAGACGGAGGGGAAGGTGGAGAGGAACCTCAAGGTAGAGTGGCAAGGCCTCCTGTCGTCAAGCCTGACTGATGGAAATATGCATGTTACAAATCAGCTTTCCTTGTAAGAACATAATCCTACCTGTCGCGTTCGGCTGCAGTGCTTGCCTTAATGCTTCACTGACTTGCACACTGCGTTTACCACATTTCTTCTTGGCACCTAAGCTGAGAGTGAGCCTGTTGTAGCATGCGCTCGATAAGGACTAAGATGAGGATCAAAAAGAAGTTGGGGAGAAGGAAGGAGGAGCAAGGCAGGATGGCTAAGAGTGCGGGAAACAATTCTATGACGGCCTCCTTTCCTACCTGGCCCATGTCCTCTCCCCTCTGTCTCGAACACCCGGTAGCTGCAGCACGCGAGGGATCACTTCAGCAGCAGGCAACGTTTGGGGGCACAGACTCTTCGAAGAGTTCACTGTGCTCGTGGAGCTTGATGGTGTGAGTGAGGATACCTCGAGAGGCAGTGAGATGGAAACAAGAAACTAGAGCAGAGATCTTACGATCGAGATGCTTCTGTCCTTCATCGACGCATTGCCATCTGAGATAGCTGAGTAGAACGAGCGAGCAGGAGGAGAGGCTCTTCTTACCCATCCTTCATCTTCTCGACTTCGCTGATGCTGCATGTGTACCTGAGGAAGGTCAGCCAACCGTTCCCGGACAAACTTTATGGAGACCATCGCCTCATGTCTGAGATAGGTAACTGCAAATGCACAAAAACGTCATCAAGCTAGTTGGTTCCTCCTCCTC